GGAAAGAAGGGAAAGGAAAAATTATGAGAAAAGAAAAAAATGGAAACGAAATCTATGTGAATAGGCAAGGGTGGAGGGGAGTGAAGGGCGAACAGGTAATGGGGAAAAAAATAAGAACCAAGATACATCATGTACAGGTACAAGCACCCAATGATAAATGTAAATGTGCTGTATACCTAAAATGTACCAATAAAAGAATTTTTAAAAAACCCAAAATAAAGCACATTCACACCTCCTGATTTCAAAATTTGCAAAGCAACAGTAACCAGGACTATGGTACTGGCCTGAGGGCAGATACACAGATCAACAGGATAGAACTGAGAGCCCAGAAATAAACCAAGATCATTCCATGGGAATAAAGTCTCTTCAACAATGATGCTGGGAAAACTGGATATCCAGCTGGGGATTTAGCTCAGTGGTACCGGTGCCTGCCTCGCAAGCGCAAGGTCCCGAGTTTGATCCCCGGTACCAAAAAAAACAACTGGATATCCACATGCGAAGGAATGAGATTAGACCCTTACCTGACACCACTGACCTAAAGGTTTATAACTGGACTACAAACTCTTGAGAAAAAACAGATGTCAACGTTCATAGTCTTAGATTTGACAATAGATTCTTAAACATGACACCAAAAGCATAAGCAACAAAAGAAAAAAATGAGAAATGCTTCATCGAAATTCAAACTGTGCTTCACTATCAACACAGTAAAAGACAGCCCACAGAACAGGAGAAAATACTTGCAAATCATGTGTGTGATTAGGAGTTAGCATCCAGAATCTGTAAAGAACTATGACCACTCAGTAACCACAGAACCACCCAGCTGAAAACCGGGCAGAGGTCTACACGGACAGTCTCTTCCCACAAAATACCCATGTGGCTGACGTGCAGGTGAGAAACGCTGCACCCACTGCCTGGGACAGCTGTGATGAAAGAAACCAGAGCCTTGCCATGTGCTGGCGGGGTGGGACAGGGTGCGTGCGACAGGTTCAGTGATAAGGAAAATTCTGGTAGTGCCTCAGAAAGTACAGCATGGAGTTTCTGTTGAATTTGAAAACTTTATGCTAAGTGCTAAGAGCCAGGCACAAAGGCCACACATTGGCAGGCAAGGGGTACATGACTGCGGTCTCAGATACACAGCAGGCTGTGAGGCAGGAGGATGGCTTGAGCCCAGAAGTTCAAGGCCAGCCTGGGTAGTGTAGTGAAGGCCCCATCTTAAAATAGGTCTGAAAAAGGAAAATCCACAAATGGAAAGTAGATGGATGTGTGCTCCAAGCTGGGATGGAGCAGGAGAGATGGTGATCGATACAGGGACAGCCAGGGTTTCTGCTTGGTATGATGGAAACACTGTGCAATTGTGAGTCGCACAAACCTGTGAATATACCTGAAAGCTATTAATGGTATACACAGTTGAGGCAGTAAATTTTACAGTATGTCAATTATATTTCAATAAAGTTGCTGCAAAAAAATTAACTCACAAATTAAAGCCACTTCCTGAAACACACAAGGTGGAATTAGCTCACGTAACCGACACCGAGCAGGCACGGGCTGGGTGGGAGCCCAGCCCGAAGTGCCCCACGACAGTGACCAGCGAGCAGGCTGTCAGGGCACTCGGGCACAGGGGTCCTCAGCAAGGGCCCATCTGGGGAGCAGCACAGGGCACGAGGAGGGTGCACATCCCAACAGGACAGACTCACCCGCGCTGGGCCCACACCAACAAACATCTCCAGGAACTCGGATCCGCTGACGGTGATGAAGGGGACGTTGGCCTCTCCAGCCGTGGCCTTGGCCAGCAGTGTCTTCCCGGTGCCGGGAGGACCCGTGAGAATGGCACCCTGCATGGAGGAGCAATCAGTCGTGTCAGGGCTTCAGGGGAGGGAGCAAGGCACAGCCCTGTCTGAATCTCACTGGTGCCAGACATAAAACAGCTCTTAGACATCTGAACTATGGTAGAACACTTCTGTGTTATGGATAAGAAAAGGATTATTAGAGACAATTTTGCTTCAGAAAACTTGGGGAAAATGTGAAATCATAAACATTTCCCTTACTTATAAGATTTTCAGCATAGTACAAAAGGGTGACTTAAGCTAGAAATGTACTGACAGATTAAGATTTACTTAAACACACGCTCCAGGTTTACAAACTTCTCTTACTCTTTCCAAGTGAAACTGGTTTTGGAACGCGGACAATGAGCAAGTGCAACACTCACTTCTACTCCCCGCGCCTGGTGCACCCCAGGCCCTTGCTCCTAACTCAATGACATCCCCTCCCTCCACTGAGCGCCGAGCCAGGAACACCGTCCGCGGGCAGCGGGGAACATGTTCAAAAGACCTCTCTTTTAGACTTAAAACTCCAAGGCATTTTTAAAAGTTTGCTTATTTTCTTCTTTAAGTTTTACAAAGAAGTAAAAACATAATACCACTGAAAACACCAGAGAGCTGCAGGATGGAGCGGCAGAGGAGCCTAGGACCAACAGGCTTGGGACCAAGTGCGCAGCAGCAAACCCTAAGGCACCACATGGGTTCCACCCACACAGACAGACAGGGCGCAGAGCAAGGGCAGGACTCCTCCCACAAAGGATGCCTGCAAAGTAGACTTTACTCATGGGTTGTGAGAAGAATCAGCCAGACTCATTCATTTACTTCACAGCTGATCCATTCCACAAATGCAAAGTCAGCTTCTGGCCTCACCCTGCAGGTGCACAGACCGGAGCCAGGATGCCCATCTGGCTAGCTGGAAGGAGGGCGGGGATGTGGGTGCTGTCTGTCTCCTTTGTGTGTCCCGTGCCAAGTCCCTCAGTGCCAGGCACAGGCAGTGGCTCAGGACTCTGCAGGGAGGTAACACAGAACAAGCTATGGTGCACTGCACTACGGGGTTAGTGACTGCTGATGCAGGGGCATCTAGCTCTCCCTCTGCAGAGGGAGAAGAAAAGAGACTCAAGGAAGGCTCCGAGGAGGAGAAAAACAAGTATTTTCAGGAATACACACAATCTAGGCAAAAGGACACAAAAAAAACAGACCCGAAAAGACTGAATCAGACAGAACCTAAGTTAAGCACAGAAAAACAGCTCTGATAGTAAGTAATCAAACTTCATAAAACAACTTCAGAGATTAAGAAATACTTCAATTTCTGGGTCAATCTCCGGAAGTTCATGTTACCTTTGGGATTTTGGCTCCTAGGTCTTCGTACTGCTTTGGGTTTTTCAAGAAGTTCACGAACTCCATGATCTCCAGCTTGGCCTCCTCACAGCCAGCCACGTCCTTGAACTTGACGTCTATCTCGTCCTTCAGGACCTTGGCCGTGGTCTCCCCGACGCTGAAGAGCCCGCCCACGCCCCGGCCGCCCCGGCCGATGCCGGCAGGGCCCCTCCGAATGGTGTAGAGCAGAAAGGTGATGATGAGGACAGTGGGCAGCATGCTCAGCAGAAAGGAGCTGCAGGGACACACGTTCACGTTTCCAGCTCTGCACCGCAGCACATGTACATGCTACAGCTGCTTCAGATGCAGCTACTGATGTTCTAGTTTTTTAAAAACCCCAAATATTCTACTAATCTGAAGCACAAGGAGACTCTCTTAGCGTTAATACCACTGAAGCAGAATCATGAAGGATAACACCAAAGAGAAACCTGTTCTCAACATGTATGCTGCCTGCAGATATTTTATCCTGATCCCAATAACCACCATTTATGCACAGCACTAAATGTTATTATCATTATATTTGAGTTTCAAAGAAATTTCTTTTGAAACACTTAAAAATTCTAACATAGTTCTGGGTTAGTATGGGTGAAAAGTCTAGCTCTCTTGCTGAGGTGCAGTAAACTTGTCCTAAAGAAAAGCCTTCCAATGTGAGTCCTCGCCACCTCGACCACGCACCAGCCTCTGGGGTGATGTAACTGTGTTTACAGCCTCTCCTGCCTCGGAGGGAGCTGCTGGGGACACTTGGAGCCTGGGGCCACAAGGTGCCATGTTTTTCTCATCATGACATTTATTTCAACATAACCATGTTTACAGATGTGTGCTTACATTGGTTAACATAATGCAATTTAGTTGACCTAATACTAAGAGAGGTGAGTCAAAAACTGCTACAAAACAGAAACAAAAGCGAGGATTTGGTAATTTTTTAAATCTATTATAGAATTTTAAATGCTGCTAAAGGAAGCAGCAAGAATCATGGAAAATTCATGTTGGTTTATTTCTAGAAATTAAAAAAAGCTGTACTGACGATAAAAACTTTTTACAGGTTATGAGCAACCATCTGAAAACCTGAAATCTGCAATGTGAAAGCTTGAAAAATCTGAAACTTTTCTGAACCTAGTCCTCAAGTTTTGGATTTTGGAGCATTTCAGATTTTGGGATTTTGGACTAGGGACACTCAACTGGTACAGTCCATGCAAATATCACAGCACATGAAGAGAGCGGAAATCTGCAGCACCTCTGAAAGGGATGCTTGGTAGCAGCCGAGGAATCAAGGGATTGCCTGAGCCTCAGGGCTGGGGAAAGGTGCTGTACAACACCATCGAAGCAGCCACACAGCCCCACATGGTGCAGGGGGTTCAGGGATCCCCATGTCCAAGCAGCATGTCAGCCAACATCACACGGGCTGCGGGGACAGTTTGCTCTTCTTCCATTCACAGAAAATTAAGACCAACTTCTGCGTTCACTCCAGAGTCGGTCATTCTACAGCAAGGCATCCCTCTGCCTCTACTGTAGGCGAGGGGACTGCCAAGCACAGGGCTCTCCGGGTGAACACGATGGGCACCACAAGGCCCTATTCCTCAGAAGGCCCAGGGACTCTGTGGTGCTGCACTAGATCCTAGGGCCTCATGCAGGCGAGCCAAGTGCTTACCACTGACCATGCCCCTTCCACCACCTCCTGACATAAATGCAGCATCCACCCAGACTTGTACACAGGGTGATTAAATGTAAGCAGGGTGATTAAAAACAAAACCTAAGGGCCACAGATTTAGCTCAGTGGTTCCACTGTCTGCCTTGCAAGCGCAAGGTCCCGAGTTGGATACCTAGTACCCAAAAAAAAAATTTTTAAAGGCTGGGGATATAGCTCAGTGTGAAGGCCTTCAGTTCAATCCTGAATACTGCAGGAAAAAAAATCAAAATAAATGTAAATGTGTAGAAAATCGGTCACACACAAGAAATAAGTATTACTAACAATATTTTAAAAGTACAGCCAAATTGAAAAAGGCCTGCTGAAAATCTAAAGTGCTATGAGGTGCGCACAGTGCAGCCAGCAGTTCACCAGTGGTTTAAAGACATTTCTTACCCATCGCTTTCAGTAATGTAGACAACAGGCACCCGGTCTTCCCCTTCTATGCCCAGCTCTTGCTGTAAAGTTTCCAGATTCCGCTCAAAGGCGTCTACACTGCCAATATTAAACCAGACATATTGCTATAAAAACAGAAAAACAAATATCCTAAGAATGAAGTGGAAACAGAAGGTTCAATTCACTAAAGGGCTCACTGTTTTTAGGGTTTCTGGTTGTTTTGTTTTTTCCTTTGGTACGAGAATCGAACTCGGGACCTTGCGCTTGCCTGGCAGGCGCTGGAACCACTGAGCTGAATCCCGGCCCAAGGGCTGTTAATGCTTCTAATCTCAATAATAAAGGACAGCTTTAGGGACTCCACCCAGTGGCAGCACAGTAAGCAGTCAGCAAGGTTCACATCCTGTCCCGCACCCACGACTCAGCCCAACGCCACCCTGCTCCAGGCCCTGGCTCAGCCACACATTCACCCAGAGGACCCACAGGGAGCACTGAGCCAGGAGAAAGGCATTGCGCGTCAGTCAGCACTTGCTTCTCCCCCCGGAGCCAGCAGTCCCTGATGGCCGGGACAGGGCACCAGGGGCCCGGGTGACAGCGACCTCACCAGCCAGCACAGACGCCTCCTCCCTTGGCACCCACAGAGCGGGTCCCAAACCACCAGGGTATTAGAGCCCATGGGCGCTCAGTCCTCCCAGTGCTGTCGTGCTGACACAACACACGCTTCCTCCTGTGTTCTTCAAGCCATCTCCACATTGCCTAGAATGCCTAACCCGGTGTCAGCGCTCTGCACAGTGACACTGGACTGTCCAGGCAATGCCAGGAAAAAGCCTGTACATGCTCAGTCCGGACGCACATTTTTTTCTCAATATTTTCAACCCACAGCTGATTGAATCCAATGATGCTGAAGATCCAGAACCCACATGCTCCGAGGGACAGCCATCCCCCACTGTGTCAGTGTCTACTAGCTGGATATGAGCCCTGGTCCTGCAGATGAGACTCCGGCAGTGACTGCAGCCATCCAGTCACCCGAGAGTGGGAGGCTCTGGACCCAGGCCGCCTGCACCCGCACCCTGAGCACGACATCCTCACAGCCTGCAGGCAGCCACGCTCGACAGGTCCTGTTCGCCCTCTGTCCAAGCACCCTGCATGCATCAGCCCTACTTTACAGCACAAAAATATTGCTTCTCCTTTAACCTGCAATCACCTTCAAAAAATACTGGTTTTTAATCAATCCAAGGTGTAAAACTCAGAAGAGAGGAACAACCCACCCACACCCCCCACCCACACGCTTCTGGGCAGGATTTCACTGCACGTCTACCTGATATCTACACAGAAAAGATGGTGAGAAGTAAGCTTTACACTACGACAGTTCTTGGTACATTGCTCCCTGACAAAGACATAAAACCCTTGTGGTTCCTCGAGCAAAACAGATTAACCCCATGAGGAGGCAGAGCAGACACTAACTCTGCACCCACTGCACCGGGTGGCAGGCTCAACGCCTGGCTCTCAGCAGAGACCTGTGGGCAGAGGCCACTACACGGCATGGCCGAGGCGCAGGCCAGAAGTGGAGGCTCCCAGGAGGACACTGAGGTAAGAAACTGGGGACGGCGGGGTTCTTGTGTGCACTGAAGATAGGAAACCACCTCCGACTCATACCACCTCCACTCAGCGCTCAGCCCCACACAAGTACTGCTGTCGTTCCCACTCTTAAGATGAAGACACCACGGCCTGGAGAAGGGACACCTCACAGAGGACCTGGCTGAAGGCACTGCCACTCCACAGCACAGCACGGAAACCTCCTATCTGTATCTGAAAGCTCAAATAAGAGCCTAACAGCAACACACGCTCTGGAAGAAAACACAGGAAACGCCCACAGAACACAGACAGGGCCCACAGCCTCGGCCTCCAGAGGTCCTCACCAGGACGCTTCAGGGCCTGTCTTCAAGACGGCACAATGCCTGCCTCCAGATTCTGAAAGACCTGCCTCACGGCAAAAAGAAACCAACACTACCCTCACTGCTACACAATGGAGGAAGAGCACTTCTAACACAATGGTATGAGCTGCAGCACATGGACACCTGGACAGGGCCCCTCCAATGCCAGAATCACCCTCTAGGGACAGCAGTGCTGGCTGTCACAACCCAGCATGGACACAGAGCTGGGAACAACCATGCCTGGAAAGAGCCAGGGCCCCGAGCAGGATGTGGACCAGTTCCAACTCTCTTGCACCAACAACGCTTTACACAGTCTTAGCCATTTCCCCAGGCGCAAAGGTCACAGGGGTGCTGCTGGGATCTACACTGCACCTCCTCACCAAGCCACTTCTCAGTTGTAAACAAAACCGAGTGCTGACCTGATCCCGAATCACCAGCAGGTCCAGTGCTCCCATCTCCACTCTCTTTGGGTTATACCTGGTGCGCAGCCCCATCCCGCTGTCGCCAGGGTACACACCTACTGCCACGTGAGGGATGTTAATTTACCACTGAGCACATCAACTGTGACACAACTTACCCCATCAACTGGAGTCTTTCCTGGTATGAAAGTCACTCGAACAAAACGCTTGTTGACGACTTCCAGTCTGTCTACCTACAAATTTCAAAAATTAAATAATCAAACATACATTTACAGAAAATACTTGAGATGCTCCTACAGACACTTTGCATGGGACACTTCACACTTACAAAAAAGAGTAACGGGAAAAGGACGCCTGCACTCCCACCTGCACCACCGCAGAGCCCGCTAGGCCCCAGGCCCAGGGGCGACCTGCCCGCACAGCCATGCTTCCCCACAGCTGTGAGCCCTAGCGGTGCTGCCCTTGGCACACCTGCCCCACACCTGCAGATGCGCTTGTTTTGGATCTGCTCTTCTACATCTTTCTCTTCTTGCCAACATTCCCTCTGTGAGGTTTACCCAGCCTGCCGTTTCGGTTCTGTGGGGAGTCCCCCTGGCAGCACTCCCCCGAGTTACTTATCCATTCTCCTAGTCATAGACAGGTCATTGTTTCAAAATCCTCACCACCAACAACACTGCTGCGCACGCTCGTGCAGACACACCCTAGGCTCTGCTGGCACCTCATCTGCTCCCACAGAGGCTGCCCGGCCCTCACAGCCCAGCAGTCTTCTGTTGCTCAACAGCCCCACTAACGTCTGCTCCCCTGAGGCTTCTTAATTCTCCCGCTGGGCATGGAATGCTTTATACCCATTCTCTCTACTCTCCGAAATACACTGGATTCTCGGCAGCACCACCGACACCTCACTTCAAGGCCTCGGCTGGCTCAAGAGACAGCTTGGGGCAGGCTCGACTCCCACTGTCTGGAAGGCACAAGTGAGAAACGGAAAGCGGACCCCAGGGAAATTCCAGGGACGCCCAAGTTCTGTTCTGTAGGTGGCCAGTCTGGCAGGGAATGGCTCCCAGTGCTCCCCAAGAACTGAAGCCACAGAGCCAGCAGGCTGGGAGGGGAGCAACAAAGAACACTCAAGTGCACTCGGAAGGAGAGCCGCAGTGCCGTGCACCCAGCAGCTGGGGAGAAGGTGGGGGCCCGGCACTCCCCAAAACTGCCCTATGATGCCCTCACTGTCACTAGACTGGCGCTCGCTTCAGAAATCTGAGGTGGGGAGAATGCTGGGAAGATGGAGGAGCAGGGAGCATCAGAACTGCCCACCCCGGCACACAGAAGTCTGCTGAAGCTGCAGCACACAGGGGAGGCCCAGGGCGAGAATAGCTAACCACAGGAAGACAGGCGCAGGAAGAAGGAAGATGAGGAGGGAAGAGACGGGGAGGAACCCTAAACAGCAACCTGGAGAGGAGGAGAAAATGTGACCTCCAGAGTGTGCTCTTAGACTCACACGTCCAGTTTTCAACACAACAAAATTAAAAATCACAAAGCATACAGAGACAGGGACGTATGGGTCATTCAAAGGAAAAGAGACATAAACTCTGCCCAAAGAAGAGCTGATGGCAGATATTCTAGACAAAGAATTAAAAAGCAAGGTGACACATGCCTATAATCACAGCACTCTGGGAGGCTGAGGCAGGAGGGTCATGAGTTCAACCCCAACCTGGGTGACTTAGCAACTTAGCAAGAACCTGTCTCAAAAAAAACCAACAAAATTATAGGGCTTGGGGTACAGCTCAGTGCAAATGCCCTGGGTTCAATCCCCAGTACTTGGGGGAAAAAATAAAGCTCAAAAAACTAGAAGGAAAATACAGAAGAAGTCAAGAAAATGATGTATGAACAAAATGAACAAAACAAAAATATCAATAAAGACAGAAAATGTGAACAGAAACAAAAGAAACTCTGGAGCTGAAAAATACAATAACTGAAATGAAAAATTCATCAGAGGGGTCCAAAGGCAGGAGAACAAACCAGTGAACAACAGGACAACTCAAATCATCAAGCCTGAGGAACAGAAAGAAAAACCACTGAAGAAAAGTGAACAGAGCCTAGGGACCTGCAGGGCCCATCAAGTATGGATGTGGGCAACACTGCGGTCACAAAGAGTCAGAGGGGCAGACAGAACACTTTTTAAAAATATAGCTAAAAACTTTCCAAATTTGATGCAAGACAAGAATAAGAATAAGAACAACAACAAAAATAAGAACATCTGCACCCAATAAACTTCAGTAAAACGAACTCAGAGACCCACACTGAGAACGTTATGTATAACAAAACTTTTCAAAGTCAAAGAGAAGCAGAATCTTTAAAAAGTAACTCATCATATACAAGGGCTCTTGAATAAGATCATGAACTATTTCTCATCAGAAATTGGAGGCCGAAGACAGTGGGCCAATAATCAAAGGGGTAAAGGAAAAATCTGCCAGCCAAGAATTATACACTCAGCAAACCGTCCTTCTAGACGAAGAAAAGCCAGGGGGTTCATTACCACTGGACCTGGGCTGCAGGAAATGCCCAAGAAAGCAACCGCACACAGTGACACCAGGGCCACGACAGCCACCCGGGAAAACGAAGGTCCAACAGTGGTAAATACAGGGCCACTATGAAAGCTGACAGCACTGTAGCTCTGGTCTGTACCTCCATATTTTGTTTCTCCATAATTTAAGAGACTAATGCCTTTGAGAAAACTGCCATGTTATGTTCAGGGCATACAGTGTATAAAGACATAATCTTGTGACACTAACAAACGGAAGGGCGCAGGTGGGGGTTTTTCTGTCACAGGTGTGAAGCCAGTATAAATTCATTAGTGTTGTTAACTTTAGGATATGAAATATAATCCCATGGTAAGCACAAAGAAAACTGATGTAAAATATAAGGAAGGAATTTAAACATTTCACTACAAAAAAGTCTATTAAACACAAAAGATAGCAGTGCTCGGAAATGGGCACACAGAGCTGTAAGACACATGCGTAGAAAACAAACACAAACGACAGAAGTCCCTCTCTAGTGGTGATTACTTTAAAAGTAATAAAATATGGCAAACTATACGCTGTTTACAAGACTCACTTTAGAAACACAAAACCTATTGAGACTAAACCACCAAGAAAGAAAAATCTGAGTAGACCTGTATCTAGTCATGAGATGGAATTGATAATTTTTAAAAATCTGATGAACAAAAGCCCAGGGCCAGGTGTCTTCACTGGTAACTTCTAAAAAAACATTTAAAGAAGAACTAATAACAATCCTCAATTTTTTGCAAAAAGGCAAAGAGGGAGCACTTCCTAACTCAGTATCTGAAGTGAGCATTTGCAGGACTGTAATACTGATTATGCCAAAGCAGGCTGTGCAGTTAGCCCCACAACTGGCTTGTTTATAGAAGTGAGTCTGGGGAAAGCCTATGTGCCAAGGTCAGAGTAACTCGCACCCAAATTCCGTTCCCACAACTAAAACCTGACTAGAAGGACAGTGTTCTAATTGCAACCATATATTTTGTCTATTCTGCTCCTAATTTGAGACTGCTTTGTCTTGTCCTTTAGGAGTCTTGTTTACATTAATTTCCATAGAAACCACACATAGCCCTGCCCTTGAATGTAGCTGGCCTTTACCCCAATTGACTGCCAATAAAAGTCAGTGCCTAATCGCTTCTCGGCCTTTTGGCTAAGGTCAAGTGTAAAAGCCAGTGCCTGGAACTGGCCAGCACCTTTGTCAGTTCCACTGGACTTGGTCATCCTGCCACCTCGCTTTCTCTCTCCTAGTTCTGTCTTTTAGTTTTATTTCTCAAGCCTGTGTCGTATACTGGGTAGGGGGGACTGGAACCTAACTGCACGGGTCTCCAGTAGCATTTTCTTGACACCAAGGGCAGATAAGGACACTACCAAAAAAGAAAACTACAAATCAATATCCCTTAGGAACACGTATGCAAAAATTCTCAGGAAAGTAGCAATCCATATCCTGCATGTTAAAAGACTAAGAGGGATTTATTCTGCAATGTAAGGTTGGTTCAACACATGAAAATCTACCCATGTCACCTACCAAATTATCAGAATGAAGGAATAAAACCACATGAGAAAAAGCACTTGACAAAATTCTCATGATAAAAAAATTTAACTAGAACTAGAAAAAGTTCAACTAGAACTAATAAAAGCCATATAAGAAAAACGCAGCGAGCGTGTACTCAAAGTTCGAAGACTGTCAGCTTTTCCTCAAAGATCAGGAACTAGGCAGGACAGCCCACTTTCATCACTCTACACCACAGATCCTAATTGCCAGAGCAATTAGGCAAGAAAAAGAAACAAATGGGTCCCACTTAGAAAGGAGAAGTCATCTCTGCTCACAAATACCATGATCTTGCCTCCAGGCAACCCTAAGCCACCACCAAAGATGGCTGAAACTGATCAATGAAAATTCAGTAAACTAACAGGGTCCAAGTCAGTGCACAAATATCAATCTCTGAAAAGGAAACTGAGCAAACAGTTTAAGGCTGGGACACAGCTCAGAGGTGGAATGCCTGCGGAGCACATGAGAGCCCCTGGTTTGGCCCCCAGAATAACAACAGCAAAAGTAATGCTACCCACAAGACATCAAGATGAATGCAATACTTAGGGATTAACCTCATCAGTGCAATACAAGAGTTAAGGACTTGCAAAGTGAAAGCTACAAAACACTAAGAAATTACAAAACACCAAGAGCTAAATACACAGAAACACATCCATGTTCATGGACTGAAGACATAATATTACTACAATCTCAATGCTACTACTCAAAGCAATCTACAGATTCAATGCAATCTCTATGAAAATCACAATGTTTTATGCAGAAATAGGAAAATGCTGGCTGGGGATTTAGCTCAGTGGTTCCACTGCCTGCCTCGAAAATGCAAGGACCCCAGTTTGATCCCCGGTACCAAAAACAAAACAAAACAAAACAAAACGTGGGTCAGAAATAGAAAAATGCATCCTAAGATTCATATGAAATCTCAAGAGAATAGCAAAACAACTCTAATAAAAACACAAAGCTAAAGGACTGACATTTTGAGATTTTAAAACTTACTGCAGGTGCTGAGCATGTGTATAATGGGCTTAGGCCCTGGGTTTAATCCCCAGCACTGCCAAAAAGACAATAGAACCTACACAATGATAAAAAAAACTTACTACAAAGCAACAGCACTGGAAACAGTATGGAGCTGGCATAACAATGGACAGTGGAACAGAACACACAGCCCCCAGACAAACTCTCCCAACTACGTCTAATGGGAAAAGGCCGTCTCTCAACAAATGCCACTAGGAACACTGAACACCCACCGACCAAGGGACAACGCTGGACCCTCAATTGTACTGTTGACAAAATTTAACTCAAAATGGATCAAAGACCTAAAACTACACTAACTCTCAGAAGAGAATACAGGGTGTGAGCTTCCTGCCATTTGATCCGGCAAGGGTTTCTTGGACACCAAAGATAAAGGCAACAAAAGAAAAACAGAAAAACTGGATTCCATAAAAACTGAAAAACTTGGGGCTGGGGATTTAGCTCAGTGGTTCCACCGCCTGCCCTGCAAGCACAAGGACCCCAGTTCGATCCCAGGTACAAAAAGAAAAAAAAATTTAAAAAGCTGGTGCATAAAATATTTGCTGTGTACCAACACAGTAAAAGGCAACCCGCAGAATGGAAGAAAATACGGGCACATCGTTTATCTGACAGGGGAGGGGAAGTATCCAGAACTTATTGAGAAAGCACAAAACTCAATGGCAAACAGCCCGAGTCACAGACAAGAGACCTGAGCAGATACACAAAACAGTGGCACCAGCTCATGAAAGGAAGACATACACGTGGCCATAAGCACACAAGGGGAAGACGCTCATATCAACTGTCTGTCAGCCAGGAGTGCAAATCAGAACTACAGCAGAGCCAACCTCATGCCCACTCCAGAGGCCGTCATCAAAATCAACCAAATGATGAGTGCTGGTGAGAATGAGGAGAGATGGGAACCCCTGTGCACCGTCAGTGGGTGTGTAAAACTGAGTACAACCGTGGAAACCAGTATGGGTAGTTTTTCAAAAAATTATAAACAGAATTACCATAAGCTCCACCAAATTCCACTCTTCACATATACCCAAAAGAAAGCAAGGCTTCAAAGCCATGCTTACACACTCATGTTCATAGCACCATTATTCACAATAGCTAAAACATGGGTGCACTCCGGCGTCCATCAATGAGTAAATGGATAAGCAATATGTGGTATACACACAATGCAATGTTATACAGCCTTAAAAAGGACATTCTGGCAAATGGTACATTACGGATCAACCTTGAGGACATGATGATAAATGAAATAAGTCAGCTACAAAAATACAAAATCTTTGATTCCACTCACGTAACTGCGGGGTTTAAGCCACACTGTGTCATCGTGACTAGCTCAGGAGCCTAGGGGATTGGTGGGACACCTTTCTGGGTGTATCCGGGTGAGTCATGGAAATGTGGCCTTGGGTACCCTATCTGGTCCTTGGACCTTCCTCTCTGGCATTGTTCCCCTGCTGCACTTCCTACCTGCCATGAAATAAGTATCTGTGTTCTACCACACCTTCCCACCGTGATGTTCTGCCTCAGAGCTACCATGAACTGAATCCCCTGAAACTGTGAGCCAAACCAACCCTCTCCCCCTTTAAGATGTGGTTATTGGGTATACTGTCTCAGCAACAGGAAAGCTGACTAACACAATAACGTATCTCAAGTAGTCCATATCATAGAATGGAGTTGCCAGGGGCTGTAGGAAGGGTGAGAATGGGTGTTACTGTTTAATAGGTACAGTGGTAAGGTACTGGCTGCACCACATTTAGTATCTCGTAACATACATAAAAATGGTTAAAACTAAAAATGTTAGGTTATATGTATTTATTCGAAATAAAAGAAATCAGGGAAAAAAGAAGATAGCAAAAGTGAAAAGGGCAATTGCATGTCAATCTCACTTAAAATACAATATTGAAGCCGGGGATTTAGCTCAGTGGTTCTGCCACCTGCCTCGCAAGCACAAGGTCCCGAGTTTGATCCCCAGTACCAAAGAAAAGAAAGAAAACACAATATTGGGGTTGGGGATGTGGCACAGTGATAAACTGCTTGTCTAGCCCACATGAGGCCCTGGGCTTGGCACCACTGAAAAAAAAAGAAAAGAAAAAAGAGGACAATTCAGTAGTATGAGACTAATCAAACTTACGAATGGAATTATGAGCCACTGTAAATAAGCTGTTGCCCTAACATATCAACCTATCAAATAAGGAAAAAAACCTGAGACAGGAAGAGGTCCCACTTACCCCCACTAACTCCGAAAGCCTGACACAGCAGGCTGCCCCAGGGCGTGAAGGCCCACCTGAAGGGGACAGCCATTTGTCACAAAGGGCAGAAGCTGGTGTGCTCAAAATCAGGAGCAAATTATTCAGAATCTTCACTTTTCATTCTGTGTGACTTCTGACCAATTAAGACACAAAACAGAAACTGAAACAGCAACGACTATTTCTGGGCTATTATCTAATTCCCCTCTTATCAGACATTTACTTGAGTTCCTCTTTTTTTTTTCTTTACTCAAACTCTGGAATGAATAACCCTGTGAGTTCATCTTTTTCTCCCCAGTACTAAGGGCTGCACCCAGGGCCTTCACACTGAGCTACATTTGCATTCCTTGTTACTTCTGAGACAGAGTCTTGCTAAGTTGCCTGGGATGGGCTGGGACTTATGATCCTCCTGCCTCAGCCTTCCAGAGTGCTGGCCATGCGCCAACATGCCCTGCTCTGGAGTCTCTTACGATTAAACAACTGAAGTGATTCAAAGGGTATATGAGGGTTTTTCAAGACTCTTCACACACACTGCCAAACTTCCCGTATGACTGCCTGTCACATATCCCATCAATCTAGGTGTTATCTTTGTATTACTAACCATAGCCAAGTTGGGTTCTTGTTTTTAATTTGGATTATCCTTTCCTTTTTCTGACTTTCTCCCTTTGCTTGCACTTCTTCCTTGGTAGCTAAATCACACCCCTCGCTTGACCCCTCTTAATGCGGTTCAGCTGCACAGCGGTTACTGGCAGTGACGCGCACACTGGGTCTGTGAAACGTTCAAGCAGATGAGTCCTCCCACCATCACACCCTGTGCAACTTGGACATAAGTAATTCATACCCTTGTGTGACCTCTGGGAATAGCGTATCTTTATCTTCACCTCATGCACTTCATGGATGAGACCAAGTACTGAGAAGTTAACGTAGTTTCCCCAAGGGTACCCCCAGATTTAGCCTCAGTCCTAAGACTGTTTGTATTGAACATCTCAGAAACGGAGACTCACTCCACTGATAGCACGGTGCACAGAATGTGACAGGCAGCTCATCACAAATGTTTTTACTAACACCGAAACAGCAGGTGCCTCACAGTCCGTAGTGTCTGAGACACACTGGAATGGGGGCTTGGAGGGCAAGGACCTAGCAGACCCAGCAGGCGGCAGGGCTCCAAGGCCAGGGACCCTCGGGCCTCGCAGCTGCCCTCACTCTGCACAGCTGCGCTCGGCTTCCACCTCCGCTGCACAGAAGCCAGACAGGCATCACAGGAGCTGAAAGGCTGCTGGACAGTGGCCGGGGGAGCAGCCAAGGAGGGACAGAGGACAGCGCAGCAGCAGAGGAGAGGCTGCCCGGGCATGGGCAGTACTTCCAAACAGGTTTCCCAAGCAGGGCTTTTCAGCATTAGAAAAACCCCATGTGAAAACTTCTCGACAAATTTCTACCCACTTTCACCTCCTGACCACTCCAGCGGCTGACCCCACAGAATACTTACTACGCCTTTGGAGAGATAGTTATTGACAAAGTCCTTCCAAGTGATTTCTCTCCCGGAGCGCTTGAACAGGATGTACAGCATGACTCCACCCCAAAACAGGGCAGTCCAGAGGAAGTACAACCTGAAGTCCTTGTCGTCCCACGGGAAGTCACCCTAGGCAAACAGGGAGGGAGTCTCTGTGAAGAGCAGAACTTCACAACACGATCTATGCCACAAGACACCAGTCCCTCCCCACCTGTCCCAGGGCCACAAGTGGAACTGCAAAATCAGCACAGAGTTGGAACCCAAACCTTCTGGAACCTGGACCACCAGTGGGAATCATCCTTCTTGCCCTGGCGTTTTCCTCCACCGCTACTTGCTCCCCCAGAAGACCGTGGGGCACTCGCTGGTTTTGGTTCTGCTGTGAACAAAGAACACACAGGAAGTAATGCTGGCTTCACAATGTTCACAGGTTTCCCCTACACAGGGTAACAAAGATCTAGCACAAAGCGTGTTGTGTCAACTGTCAGCTACCGAATAAAGTACCCTAAGGATGGCTGCAAACAGAGTAGGAACCTCCACAGAGGCCAAATGCTCTGCCTACTCCATCCCCTGAAACAGGCACTATCCCCAGAAGGGCGCTGCCACTACGGCCACTTCACAGGGAAGAGACTGGGCTCAAGCAACTCACTAGGGGACTTGTGGCTGTGCTGAGTGGCAGTGGCTAAGCAACTGGGGTTTAAACCCAGGCAGGCAGAGTCCAGAGTCCCAGTTAGAAAGCAAGTGCCCCCTTCCCCATCCTGCAAAGGAGACCCTGAACAGCAGGTTCTGTACTTGGAAGGCAGTGACTTTAAGAACTAGCAAAGAACACGCACCTTGGGCTGGGTGCAGCTCGGGGCAGAGCACTTGCCAAACATGTGCAAGGGGCTCGGATTGATTCCCAGCACATCACACACACATACACACACACACCAACAAAAAGCAAAAACAACCTTATTCACATAACTGGTGTGCAAGAATCTGATACTAGTCACCGTTCCAGGTTAAACTGGCCCTCCCATGCCCAATTTATACACTGAAGTTCTGGCCCTCAGTATCTCAGAACTCGACCTCACAGAAACAGGGTCTTTACAGAGGTCACCAAGGCAAGAAAGGTCAGCAAGGTGAGCCCTAACCCAATACAACTGGTGTCACTACAGGAAGGGAAATCTGGTCAGAAACACACATGCACTCATGCACAGGGAGTGATCTGAAGAGACAACAGAATGACAATCAGCTACCAACCTAGATTCTTCTCTCACAGCTCCCAGAAGGAGCCATCCCGCAGAGACTGAGTTTGGATCTGTAGCCTGTGGAACTACTACCCCTTTTAACAGCATCCTAACAGACTAACAGACATGAACATCTTCCCTCCCACCTCTTCATCCTCCCAACCCACAGTGCCATCGACCGTCTTTAGCCAGGAGCAGGCCGCAGGCACCATCACCCACAGTGGCTTTGTGACCCTCATCACACGTGCTGCACACATGGAGAAGGCTGTGAAGCGTGCATGCTCAGCACCACCCTCCCCACCCCATCAAGGCACAGGGCTGGGAAGCTGCAGGACACCGCTCCAGTGGTGCTGGGACCCAAACTACTCTGGGCCACAGAGAAAGCAAGGCAAAAGGAGTGGAACTGTTACCTCGTCCCTCTGCCCCAAACCAGGATTCAGACCACAGACCGCAGCCTGGAAAGCCTGCATCCATTGTCATGTGCCTCATGCTCCCACCCAGGGCCTGGGGCCACCTTCAGCCACACCAGCACATCTGGCCCCTGGTCCCCAGTCTCACTTTCACTCCTCTGCACTCCCTGAGCATACCCGTCTCTCCTGCTAGATGACACATCCATTTGCAATCAGAGGTGCAGCGTGGCCAGGCAGCACCTGCTAAGCATGTGTGAGGCCCTGGGTCTTACTGGTACCACCCCAATAAAAAGTCACAGGTGACTTATTTTTCCTTACATTCTCCTAAAGAGAAATGAAGCCAGTTAAACCCCAACTCACGCCAGGCACTGCAATAAAGGGGATCACACTTGTGGAATGGGGTCAGGATGTTCAGAGTCCACATGACCCCAGCCATCCAGGCCTAAGAAACCCTCTCTGAATCCCAAACTTAAGACAGAACTTAACAAATGTCAGGAGCAATTTTAAAATCACGGTTAAATAAGTTGTATGTATTGGGTTTTAAGACTTTTCTCAATGGTTTAAATGATGTGTCAGATACATCTATCAGTCTTAGTTTGACTTCTATTTTAAAAATAACAGGGAAATGTAAAGGTACAAGATCTCAATGATGAATGTAACTGCATTTTACACCGAAAATGTACCAATAAACTTAATGGGGAAAAAAAAATAACGGAAATATGAGCATAAAATCAAAGTAAAATGAAACATAAGACCTACAGGATTTTGTATGTACCTGAAACCTATAGTTTCAAAACTGACTCATAACTCATTTTTTGGTCAGTGGAAACTATCACCATCATTTATTAAGGAAAACAATAAATTCCAACATAATCTTTTTAAAAGGTACCTTTTTTTTCTCCTGTAACTTCTTTAGGTTCACTAGCTTTTTTTCCATTTTTTCCATTAGGAAAGTATTTTTCAAATCCTGTTAGAAAAGAAAAAATAACCCTCAAACTAAAATTCATCAGCTTTTGTGTATGTGAGTTCCCTTCTTTCTAAGCAGCTGATACATTATTTAAAGCATAAGCTAAACGCATAACGCTCCTTGTGCAAGTCTAAGGGACACAGTGCACAAGGCAGAGGTGCTAAAGGAAAAGCCTCCTGGTGCAACTGCCTCATCTGTAAAAATATCACAGGTAAAAGCAACACAATTCCACCTGTTATCAGAAATAAGCTGGAGTCAGGGAGAGGGTACAGGAGGAGGAGGAAGCTGAGAGTCACCCTGACCCTGCAGCTAGGCACGCACCTGGTAAACACCTGCCGAGCCCTCAGCAAGAACACAGAACATACAGCCGCACCTAAGCACTTACCTTTGGGAGGTCGGGAACAGAACCTGCGATACACAGCAATCATGTCTGTCAGAAGAGACCTTCTGGTGGCTGTCACTCGCGCTGTAGCACATTGATAGAGCTGCAACACAACAGGAAAACAAAGACATCAGGGTTAGTCCGGATACAGACGTCAAAAGGGCTCCACTGCCGAGTATCACAAAGTAGCTGAAAGGCTTTACCTTCCACAGGTGTGTACACCAGCGCAGAAGACTCCTCCCAGGAAGAACCAGGGTAACCTGGCACCACGCCACTGGTCTAGCAACAGTGCAGGACACAGACAGACATTGTCATCCACAAGCAGCCCAATTACAACTATCTAATGACAATGTTTACCTAATCTGCAGCCTTTGAAGGGAAACTCACACTGGAAATCTGCTGCTTCATACTGACCCATTTTCAGGATCTCTAACACCCGTGTTCATCACTAGCTTCCCCTCACTCTGAGAAACACCAGAGATGAGCGGGTTATGAGAGCAGGGGGATGTTGGCCCATCTTCGGAGGGTCCGGCCCATGTTCCTGGCCCTGGGGCTGTGACAGGCAGCGCACCACAGAGGGAGTGTGCAGTGGAGCAAAACCCGGAAGCCAAAGAGGAAGGGCTGGGTCCCAATTCTCCCCCTCCAGGGCCCACCCCAAAGACCTCATGACCTCGCCTCATCCCCACCTCTAGAGGTTCTGCTACTGTACCTCCCACAGCGCCACAGTGGTGACCAAGCCCTTAACACACGAGCCCCTGGTGGGACTTCGTGATCCCACCTATGACAATGCTGCAAAACATATATATGAGGCCACAGGCCAGTGCTGCTTGCTAGGATAATACTAAATTTTCCTTAACTCAGTAAGAAAGCTGTGGCCCACCATCACTGATAACTCTTATACCAGCAACATTTGCTAAAGATCTGTGATCTATTATCACCCAGGTGAGAATGTTACAGAAGTCCCATTACAGAAGTATCTTCACTTTGTATAACATGTTACTAAAAAACCGTGGCTTAGAGAAAACAAAGTAAAATATAAACAAACCAATTAAGTTCTCTTAAATTTTTAACCTGCACAACTAAAAGTAATCAGTGGCAAGGGGCATTGAGGAGATAGACTGAAAGCTGGCAGAGAAAAAGCTCAAGTAATCATACCATTTTGCAAAGTGAAAACTCAGCACCATGGCGGGGCACAAGCCCTTAAATGCAGGTATCAATGTTTAAAGCAAAAGTTCATCTGTATTAGCGTCCATTATCATTTGCCTCTTTGTCTGATAAGAAAAATAAAACATCAAAAAGTGAATAAAGGGCCAGGGATTTAGCTCAGCGGTTCTGCCGCCTGCCTGGCAAACACAAGGTCCCAAGTTTGATCCCCGGTACCAAAAAAAAAAAGTGAATAAAGCCCCTTCACATCCACTAGGGTGACTATAATCAAAAACACAAGTGTTGGTAAGCATGTGTAGAAACTGCAGCCCCTGTACGCTGCTGGTAAGAACGTGAAACGGTGAACATGAAACGGTGCAGCTACTTTGGAAAATAGTCTGGTAGGTTCTCAAAACATTTACTGTAGAGTTTCCATAGGATGCAAGCAATTCCATTCCTACCCAAGGAAACTGAAAACCTATTTGCACACAAAAACTCTGTACACAAATGTTCATAGCAGCATTGGTCTTAATGGTCAAAAGCAGGAACAATCTAAACATCCATCAGCTGATGAACAAATAAAAGTGGTATATGGATACAATGAAGTATTATCCACTCATAAGTACTGAAATACTGATACAAGGGTGAACTTTGAAAACATTATGCTAAGTGAAACAAGCCAGACACAGAAGGTAACATGTTAGATCATTCCATTTATGTATGTCCAGAATAGGCAAATCCAAACAAAAATAGATCAGTGAGTAGTTTGCCTAGGACCAAGGGGATGGCTGGCATGAAACTGGGAACAACCAATAGTGGCTATAGGGCATTTTGTTAGAGTGATGGAAATGTTCCGGAATTAGAGATGGTACTAATGGTTGCACAACCTTGTGAGCATGTTAAAAAGAAAATAAACAACACTGAATTGCACTCTTTTTTTTTTTTTAGTACCAGGGATCAAACTTGGGACCCTGTGCTTGCAAGGCAGGCGCCAGAACCACTGAGCTAAATCCCTGGCCCTGAGTTACACTCTTTAAAATGATGCATTTTGGGCCGGGGATTTACCTCGGTAGTGCTGCCACCTGCCTCGAAAGCAGAAGGTCCCAAGTTCGATCCCCGTACCAAAAAAAAAAAAAAAAGGATGAACTTTATGGTATGTCAATAAAAATAAGAAAGAGCTGGGAAAAAAGAAAAAAAAAAAGAGCTGACTTAACTTCAAATAAATGCACAACTCTATACTGCAAAACAGGCCAGAAACACTGGCACTATACATGGTTGATCATGATGCGGATCTGAAAGAATCTGGGACTTAAGTGTATCAGGCCCTCCCAAACCACCCAAGCACTTGGCCAATGAAATAACCACTGTTAAGGCGTAAGAATGTATCATAACCAGCATGATGGCACATGTAATTCCAGCTGAGATAGGAGGATTGCAAGTTAAGGCCAGGTTGGGCAACCTAGCAAGACCCTGTCTCAAAATAAAATTTAAAAAAGGCTGGGGGTGTAATTCAGTGGGAGTGCTTGCTTAGCATCCAAGAGGCCATGGTTCAATCCCCAGTATGAGAAGAGGAGGAAAAGAAAAGAGGCAAAGAGAAAGAAAAAAGGTAGACTAGTACCTAAGTGAATGAAGTATTTGCATTGCCAAACCCATTAAGGTAATGATTAAACTGTCATTCAAGCTACACAGGTCAAGAAATGACTAAGTTGTGTGCAGCTACTCTAGGCCAGGTGCAACCAAGCAGTGAGGACATATCTTCTGCGTATGTAACTTGGGTGGTGTGTCACTCAAAAAATGAGATACTAATTCACAAAATTTAGGGTTACTGCACCTTATCTTTGCTTAGGTTTATGTTTGACAATATGAACACTTTTTAGTTGCTTTTCATCGGTCTTACTCTTCTGAGCATGGTACCTGAGAAATATGGCAACACAGCAAAACCTTTTCCCCAGGTCCCCACTGTGATGTGACTTTTCCTGATCTTTAACAGTGAGAGGAACCTAAGGACAAACCTGTCCCATCAGACTCCCCCACTGGCGCAGTCATCAGGTGTTCACACCCAGGACTGCAGAATATGTATTACCCACACACCCCTTCAGCTATGGCTGTCAGCGTGGACTTCCTTCTACCTCAGCATTGGTGACTCAGTGCCATAACAGTGCCACTGGGAAGAAAGGCCTTTCAGGAAGTGTCCCGCCATACAAACTGCAAACTCAAAACGCAGATCCCTATCCATCTATCGCCAAGTGAGTCCCATATCCACTAGGTACAATAGAAAAGGGATCAGAGCAAGGTAAAGAGGGAAAACAGACACAATGCAAGGACCTGAAAAACGCAGGGCAGACGGCAGTGTAGGGAGAAACAGAGAGCAAGGGATAAAAGCCAGGCCGGCAAGGGAGCCTCCGGGTAAATTCACGGAGGTAAGCACAGTCAGCCCTCCACTCCCAAGGGTTATCCCTGGATTCCAAACAGCCCGTAGAAAGTACTGAGAAAAGGGCCGGGGATTTAGCTCAGTGGCGCCGCGTCTGCCTCGCGCAAGAGCCAAGGTCCTGAGTTCGATCCCTGGTATCAAAAGAAAAAAAAAAAATACTGAGAAAAAAATGTGTTATGTGTGGCGAAGACTTTCCCCCCGGTCATTATTCCCTAAACTACTGTCTAACCACTACGTATTTACACAGCGTATGCATTGTATAAGGCAGTACAACCAATCTAGAGATGACTTAAAGCATAAGGGAGGATGGGCGGAGGATAAATGCAAATGCTGTATTTCCGATCCAGGGACTGAATCTCTGCAGATGTGAATGTGCCAGGGTCCTGGACCCCGCCCTGTGGACACTGGGGGATCGCTGTACTATTGATTATGCCCCCTCTTAAGTGGAGAGGCTGCGCCAACTCCTCCAGCACACGGCTCTGTAAAAGGGGTCGGCCACGTTCCAGGGACCCGGGGCCTCAACCTCCAGGCCCGCCGCCTCTAGGCTCCAAGGGTGGGCGAGCAGGAAGCTGTCACTGACCCTGCGACACTCGCTGGTCAGTCCTGACGCGGGACGCGCGCGAAGCAGGGCCGGGTGGCCCGGAAGGGCCGCCGCCAAGTCCTCAGGCGGAGCCGGGGGCAGGCGGGCCGCGTTCGCGATGCCAACTCCACCTCCGGCGGCTTCCACAACCCGTATGTCCCGGGCCCGGGAGGGGCGCGCTCACACGCGAGAGGCCCTGGGGCTCTCTCCGGTGACCTTGAGGCTCCCCAGACAAGAAGCGGGCCGGGGGGACTCACGGGACTCACCATGCGCAGGCTGTGCTGCCCGACCCGGCCCGCGCCGCTGCCGGGCAAGAGCAAGGGCGCGAGCCCGCGAGGCCGGCAACCGCCCCGGCCCCACAGCAGCAAGCAGCGGAGCGCCATGGCGGCGGGCAGCCTCGGGAAGGGCCACGGCCCGCGGCGCGGCTCCGCACTCGGGAACCCACGCCACCAACAGGCGTCGGCGTCTGCGCCTGCGCCTGCGCCGCGCCCGCGCCCACACCGTCCTGCATGCGTGCCGACGTCGACGTAGCGTAGGGAGCGGGGCTCAGCCTAGGTTTAGGAGTGGAGGCGGGGCCGGACGGGGCGAAGGTGGGGCCTAGCGGGTGGGGCAGGGCCTACTGGAAAGGCGGAGGCTTAGGGGAAGGGCGAGTCCTAGGGGCGGAGCTGAGGTGGGGCTTCGGGCGGTGCGGGGCAGGGGGTGGAGCATGGGCTAGGGGCGGGCGTAGAAGTCAGGGTTGGGACGGGGTGGGGTCGTTGATGGGGCAGGCCTGGGGGGCGCATCTCTAGGTTCGGGTGGGGCCTGGGGCCTGGGGCCTGGGGCGGCCCACGGCTGGGCGGAGCTGTAGACGGGCCTAGGGTGGGCCCCTGGGCAGGTGAGACTTGGGTGGGCCGGGGCCGTGGGCGGGGCGGATCCCGAGGAAGGCCCCCTCCTGGGCGGAAGTCTGGGATCCCGCCACGCGCGCGCTCCGGACCTCCGTCCGCGCTCGTTTGCGCGCCTCCTGTTCGGTACCCGCGAGGCTCGCGCAGCCTGAATCTGGAGCCCCACCTCCGCCCAGAGCATCCAGTCTGGCGGCCGTCTCTCAGGGAAAGGCCCCGACTGAGCCCAGGCTCACCTCCAGGTGGGCGCCCCGAGAGCGTGTGAGCGCGCAGGGGGACGGGCGTGGCCCCAGCCCCAGCGACACCCCGTCTGTGCCCTCCCTGCCCAGACGTCTAGGTGCCGCGTTCACCGTGTCCACGTTTACTGGACATCGCTCAAACTTTCTTGTGCTCATAGGTCGGTTTTGGAAGGTGATACTTATCAGCGGATTAGCCATCCAAATGGAAGGGAAAAATAAAATCTCTATTCACAGATGACATGATCCTATCTACAAGTCCCAAATAGGATCATGTCATCTGTGAATAGAGATTTTATCTACAAGTCCCAAATAGCCTGCAGAAAGCTACTTGAATAAACATTCAGCAAAGTTGCAGAATACAGGATCGAACCCAAAAATCAGTGTGCTTTTACATACCTGCAATGACCAATCCGGAAAGAAATTAAGTTATGAATTCCACTTACAAAGCATCCAAAAGCTCAGTGGTGCCTCGCCTCGCAAGCACAAGGTCCTGAGTTCGATCCCCAGTACCAGAAAAAAACATCCAAAAGAATAAAATACCTGGATGGATGTAAGCAAGGAGGTACGAGACTTCCTCACCAGAAACTACAAAACATTGCTAAATTACCCAAGACTCAAATAAATGGAAGGAAATTCCATGTTGATGGAGTAGACATCACTGTCAGAATGGCAACACTATCCACAGATTGCATCTACAGATGGGACACAATCCCTGTCACAATCCTAACAGCTTTCCCCATGTAAAGGCCAATCCTCAAATGCATATGGAATCTCAAGGGGTCTCAAATACACCCTTGAATAATAAATTTGAAGGATTCATTCCTCCCCATTATAGAACTTACTATAATCAAAACTATGTGATCCTAGCATAAGAATGGACATACAGACTAATGGAATAGAACTGAGACCCAGAGGTAAACCAATACAGCTCAATTGATTTTTAAAAAGAATATTGTGTCCATTCAGTGGGGAAAATACTCCTTTCAGCGTTGTTGTGGGAGAACGGGATATTAAAGAATGAGCCAGGGCCCTACCTCACACCATACACAAAATTTAAACATACCTACAGCCTAGCTATAAGAAGTAGAGCCCTGAAACCTTGAGGAAAAAAAGACTGAAAACTTCAGGACCTTGGATTGTGCAGTGAGTTCTTAGATATAAAAAACACAACAATAAAACAGGTAAATCATACTTTACCACAATTTAGAACTTCTGCACATCAAAAAATATTTTCAAGCTGGGCGTAGTGGCACAGGCCTGTAGTCCCAGCACTCAGGAGGCTGAGGCAGGAGGACTGCCATGACTTCGAGGCAGCCTGGGCTACACAGTGAGTTGAAGGCCAGCCTAAACTACATAGTGAGACCTTGTCTAAATATATATATATGGCCGGGGATTTAGCTCAGTGGTTTCGCTGCCTGCTGTGCAAGCACAAGAACCAGAGTTTGATCCCTGATACCAAAAAAATATATATATATTTTTTTCAAGAATGTAAAAAGACAACCTATACATTGGGAGAAAATATTTGTAAATCACGCATCTGATAAAGGTTTGCTATCCAAAATATGTAAGGAATTCCTATAACTCAGTAACAAAAAGATAATCTAATTCTTAAAACGGGTAAAAGACTAATAAACATGTCTCTCTAGAGGGTGCACAAATGCCAATAAGAATAGGAGCAGATGCTCAACATCTTTAGTGATTGGGGAACCACACTGGACACTGGGATGGCTATAGTCAATCTAAAAAAACAAAAAATCAGGTAATAAGTGTTAATGAGGATATGGAGAAACCAAAACCTGAATTTCTGATGGTGGAAATGTAAATGGCACAGCTGCTATGGCAAACAGTTGGCATTTTTTCAAAAAGCTGAACACCGTGTTACCATGTGACAATATGGTACCAGCGTTTCCCCTCCTAGGTATATGCCCAAAAGCATTGAAATGATTCAAACATACCTGTAGGCCAACACTCACAGCAGTATTACTACAGGCAGAGAGTGGAAACAACCCACGCACCCCTCGATGCATGGGTGAGCAAAACACGGTCTAGAGACCCACCGTGAAACAGCACTGGACCATAAAGAGATCGAGGCTTAATACTCACTCCGGCACAGATCAGCCCTGAGAATGTGCTAAGTGAAACAAGCCAGACACAAAACGACAGCTACTGCGTGAGTCCCCTTAGGTGGAAATCTAGAATAGGCAACTTCACTGAGCCAGAAAGTAGATTACAGAAGAAGGGAGAAGGGAGTCCTACGTCATGGTGAGAGGGTTTTCTTTTTGGAGCAATGAAAACATTGTGGAAATAGATGGTGATGGTTGCGCGAAACTGTAACTGGAAGCATGTGTGTAATCCTGGTGCTGAAGGAGACTGAGGCAGGGGGGCTGCAAGTCTGAGTCCTGCTTGGGTAACTTACCAGGACCCTAGCTCAAAATTTTTAAAAAGGCTGGGGATATAGCTCAGTGACAGAGTGCCTTGAGGTTAATCCCCCATGGCAAAAAAAAAGGTAAATGTAATTAACACTACTGAATCATACACTTAGAACAGTTAAATTTTACTTTATAAATCTTTATCACAATAAGAAAGTGAAGGGAGGAAGGAGAGGAAAGGGGATGAAAAAAGAATCGAGATGTTTCATGTATACACACCGACACCACACGGAAATGTGATCATTATGTAACGCACACATGTACCAATAAAAATAAAAATGGAGAAAATAGACTTCAATTAAAAAGCAAAGGAAAGATGGGTGAACTGTGGAAAGAGCATGCTTTGTGAAAGACACTGGACACGAAAGGCCACATAGCACTACACCCACATGCACAAAATGCCCAGATAGGCCAACTGTGAGGACGGAAGTAGATCTGTTTGCCTGGGTCTGGAGGAAGGACCCGAGGGGTGAGGGGTTTGCATTTTGTGGGGGGAATGGACGAAAACCGATTGCAGACATTGCTGCACAGCTGTGCATAAGCTACACTATTGATTTATATCCTTTAAATGATGGATTGTATGGTAATCTGATTATCTCGTTTGTAGGAATGGGCAAAGGGCCTGAGTAGACAGGTGGCCAGGGATAGGGGTCCTGCACCTACATGTCTGCCTAAATAAACACACAAAGAGATGCTGAACACCCTTAGTCACCAAGGAAAGGCAAAGCAAAAGCACAAGGGCTCCCACTTCACTCCCGACGGCTCTAATACAGAACAATATAGGTAATAAATATTGATGGGGGCCAGGAGAAACAGGCATTCTCCTACGTGGGATCATAAAACGCTTTGGAAAATACCCAGCAGGTCCGACTCCCGGGGGCCCGGCTGTGGCCCCTGGTATCTCCCGGGGAGTGGGAGACTCACCTGTCCCCAGCACTCAGCACAGCACTGTTCGTGACGGCCCCAAAGTGGATGAAACTGGCCACCAGTAAGGAGTGGGTGAGTGATAGCTTCCGAATCTTCCAAGGTCATCATCCACGGGACTGACCCACAGGTGGGCCTGGTTTGGAAGAAGCAGCTGCAGAAGTCTGCACGCGGCACAGCTCCACTCCACAAGTGTCCACAGGCACGGCGGGACACTGACGCGGTGACTGCAGAAGCTGGGGAGGGGTCCTCGGACGGCTCAGCTTGTGCCCTTGATACCGTTTACTTTTTAGAACCCTGAAAATATATTATCTAGTCACATGAAATACAACAAAAATTAAGACTAGTAAAGGATGCTACTTTTCTCAGTGCTGAGATTTTCAGTAATGTTTACAATGAATCTGACACCTACAATATGTATATTTTTCATAATATGCAATAGTTTTAATAAATATGTAATAGTTTTATAATTAAAAGACTTCAAAGTATAAAGATTCCAGGGTAATTTTTTTTTTTACTGTTACAGAAGGAGGGTACAAGGTTTTAAAATGGAAAAAGTCTCTAAAGTCTTTTACTCCTGTAATGTGCAGAGGCGTTCTTTCCATGTGTGCTTTTTTTTTTTTTTTTGGTACTAGGAATTGAACTCGAGTCCTTGCACTTGCCCAGCAGGCAGTGAAACCACTGAGCTAAATCCCTGGCCTCCATGTGCGCTTTTGAGCAGTCAGTGTACACTGCAAGCACAGGAAGCTCGTTTGTTCATGATGTCACTCACCTGGACTTTTCAGTGCCACGTGTCTGTGTGTGCTAATAATGCATAGTTCCTGCACTCTATCAGGTCTATGTTCTCTTGAAGGCCTCAGTAGTTGTCTAAGCAGGCATCAGACAGCATTAATTCATTTCCGTTTCAGATGATGCCATGAACAGTATTGTGTGCCAGTATCCACCCAGAGGAAGATTTCCTGCAGAACAGTGATTGTTCAGTAAACACTTTTTAGAAATAAATTTCCAGGCTTTGGGGCCAGAAATTGGACAGTGCTGCCGTGCCCTGTGCGTGCACACTGGCTCCACTAGATGTCAGGAGAGAGCCATGAATATCTGCCCACATCCTGCATTCAAAAAAACCCTTAAAACGTGTTTCTGGGCCCGGGATGTAGCTCAGGGCCTCCGTGCCTGCCTGGCAGGTGCAAGGTCCTGAGTTTCATCCCTGGTATGGCAAAGAACAAAACAAAACCAAAAACACCTGTTCCTGACAAGGGTCTGGGCTTTTTTTTTTTTTTAATCAAATGATTTTGCTGCGGTTCACCTCTAACAACCTTGATACTCTGTCCCCACAGGGAAGCTGATGCAGTGTTTTTCCAGCAGTGCTGGACGTTGGACACTGCTGTTGTGGCCTGCGGAAAGGAAGCTAAAAAGACACCATGTGCCGTTAACGTCGTCCAGATGACAGTGGAAATGCTGACTCCTGGCAGTGACACTAGCTACTAACAGTGCAAGGAGCAAAGGGCCGGGGCGGATTTGGTTCAGTGGTTCTGCCGCCTGCCTTGGAAGCGCAGGGTCCGAGTTCGATCCCCAGTACCAAAAAAGTACAAAAGGAGCATGAGTGACAACAGAACACAGAATATCCTTATCGCCACTTTGTGAGCAAATATTTCTCTTAAAGCCATGGTCACAAAAGCAGACTAGAGTGACCAGATGTGTGACAAGGTCCTGTGGGTTAGCTTTGTGGCCGAGCCCTTGCTTTGCCTGCGTGATGCCCAGAATTCAGTCTCTGAACTGCAAGAAACAGAAAGGCTCCTAGACTCTCCCAGAGTCTTCTACAGAGAAAGCTGCTTGCTCTGGGACCCAGGCTCCTTCCTCCGGAAGTGGTTTGCTAGGCTTCTGCGGAAAAGCTGTGTGGACTCTGCTTAGAAGCAGAGATGAGGAGCAAAATTAAAATACTTTTAAACCCGACTTCAGGAATTGGAGGTAGGGCTGGCAAGAGAAAACACGCAACACAGAAAATATAGGTCACATTGGTATCCTCTGTTTTACTGATATCTAGGGCGTCAGGCTCAAGGCAGATCTCAAGATGACCTCGGATTTCGGTTTTTGCTCTGTTCTTCAGTGTGAGGATTCCAGCCCCTGACCACAGCGAAGCTAGTGCTGGTGGCAGGGACTCTGCTGTTTTCTCGGACAGCGAGGCTGGTTGATCGGGTTCCACACATGAAGTCTTTTCTCTCTTCCCCTGCACTAGCCTATCAGTGCCTGGCTGTGCGACAGCCCTGGGTGACACGTGAGGTAGGCAGGTGAGAAGGAGCTCCCCAACTTCTTCCACACCTCGTCCCTGCCAGGAGAGTAAACATTGCTCAGCTACAGCAATTGTAAACTCGTTTATTTTTGGGGTACCGGGGATCGAACTCTGGACCTTTCACTGGCGAGGCAGGGGGTGGAACCACTGAGCTAAATCCCGGCCCCTAAACTCATTTTTTAAACAGCAGTGTGTTCTGTAAAACATGAAATCTTGATACTTAATATAGAGACTGAATAGATAAAAAGAGAACGGGGTTGGGTGCAGCTCAGCCGTGGAGTCCTTCCCCGGCACGCGCAAGGGCTTGGGCGGGTTCCGCGGCCAATGTGGGCGCGCGCGCGCGCGCACAGAGGGAAGGCGGGGCCTCTATGATCAGGGGAATGACAGGGTTCCCCGACGGCTGCTTCGGAATCAGAGTTAGGAATCAGCCCCTCCAGGTCCCTGACTGCCAGTCTGGCGCCATCCTGACTTGCTGAACAGGCAGTGTGCAGACCTCGGACCGGGCAGAGCCTGGGGCGCAGCGACGACGGCGCTCCGGGGCTGTCCTGGGGCGCTGAGTCTGAGTCCTGCTCTCCCAACCCAGGGCGGCCGGGACAGCCCGGGGTGCTCGTTACCAGCGCTGCACAGCACAGGGCAAGGCAGAGCGCAGAAACCCGGCCCCTCAGGAAGCAGGAGTCCGGTGCCGCCGAGGCCGGGCGGCTTCCTCGCTGCTCGGGGGGCGACACCGCGGTGGCCCTGCCTCCGGCGGGCGGGTCCTGCTCGCCCAGCGCCCGCCGCTCTCTCCCGGCCCACTTGGGGCGCGGCTCTGCGGGCTGCGACGGCTCTGCGCGGTGTCCTCCGGCACCCGCGCCCGGTCCCTGCGGGGCACCGAGGCCTCGCGCGTGAGGGCTCCGGCCACGTGACGGGTGGTGCCCAACCGCAGCCCGGCCACGTGACGTGACGGGGCGGTGCCTAACCTCCGCGCCCCGCCCCTCCCCGCGGCGCCTCCGCGGTGGAAGGGGAGAGGAAGGGCGGTCGCCGGGAGCGCGCGTGGCCTGCCGGGAGCGCGCATCGCGGGCCGACGTGCGGCCATCCGCAGCGGACCCGCGCCTCCGCGGCGATGAGGATCTGGAGCTGCGAGCACGTGTTCGGGTGAGCGGGCCGGGGCCGGGCCGGGCGGTGCGCACGACGCCGGCGGGGTTCCGGCCGCGAGGTGGGCGGCTCGGCCCGGCCCATCTAACCCTCCCCCTCCCTCCCTCAGCTACGCCGTTCGCTTTTCGTCCGGGCGCGGGACTCCCCGCCGGCCGGCCCCCGCGCGTCCCGCTGGCGCGCTCCCGCGGTTCCGGGCGCTCGCTCGCGCGTGGTTGTCTCCCCTGGGTGCTTCCTGGACCGTGTGGGCCCTGAACCTGGGACGCCCCGCCCGCAGGGCTTTTGGGGAGCTCGGATTTTCAGACTCCCCGAGCGCAGTAGAGGAGGCTTTCGTCCTGGGGAAAAACCTGCGTGAAATGGAGCTGTCATCCTTTGGCTCTACAACGTCTAGAATGGCGGTAAAAGCACATCAGCCCGCGCGGAACGCTCGCGCGCCTCAGGGTGTGCAGGAGAGGTCAGCTGAGGAGCACCAGGACCCTCTTAGCGCTGCCACCGCTTGTTTTTAAAGTTTGAGGCCCACCCTTCCTGGCACTCAGCTCTGTCTTGTCAGTCACCGGCTTTACAGTGTTCATCTCAGCCGGGCACAGGCCTATAATCCCTGCATTCTGGGAGGCTGAGGCAGGAGGACCGAACAGGGCAACTTAATTAGGAGACCCTGCCTCTGAATGAATAGGTGAATGAATGGGATGTAGCTTCGATGTGAAGGCCCTGGGCCAGTCCTCAGCATTAGGTGGAAGAAAGTGTACGCAGAGTAAGTTTCGGTGTGTCATAGAGTTCACATTTTTAGATAACTGTGCAGCTGTGGCCACAGCCTTGGTGTAGGACATTTCCCTGGCCCCAGAGACCCTCCTGCTTGACTGCAGTCCCCCGCCCCCAGGCCACATTCATCTGCATGGCCACCCCTGGGCTCTGGGAGGTGGCAGGAGGCAGCTTCCGGCAGGGCAGAGAGGATGGAAGAGGGGCGCGGAGCTGAGTGCCCGCTGTGCCCTGCCCTCCCCACCCCGCCCCCCCCTCCCTGGAGGCAGCTGAGGCGATGAATTTGCTGCCCTCCTTCCTCAGGGCTGGGTGCCAGCGGCCCTGACTCCATCCACTCGAACACGGGGCCACTGTTGATTCCCTGGCACACACACATCAGCAGCACCACCCTGGGCAGCCCGCTGGGCCCTCCCCTCTCCTCAGCAGCATGCTTCACGATCGTCCATACTGAGGTCGATAGGTCTCAGCACAGGTGTAGGCGGATTAGGGGCACTGGTGTCCCACTGTGTGCAGACGCCACAGCCGGTCCCTGTCATCCATGGGACGTTCAGGGTCCCTTGAACGGCACTCAGCAGCGGCCAACCCTGGTGTGTTTCTGTCCACTCAACCATGGGCCTGGGTGGGCCAGCAGGTCTCAGGCCATTCAGGGTCACTTTCCTCTCTTGGAGAATATGGGGATGGAACAGGTTTTGTCTGTGTGGACTCTGTCAGCACCTGCTGTGTTGCGCATCAGCCTGCGGGGTTTGGATCTTGGTCCCAAAACCTTGCACACTCAGAGGTGGCAGGCGACCAGACCGTGGGCGCTGTGCCTGTCAGTGGGTCAGGGGACTCAGGGCTGGTAGGAGTGGGAGTGGGTGGTCACTGGGGAGCGACCTGGAGGAGTCTCCCTCCGACTCTTCTCTGCTTGCTGGCCTTGTGAGGTGCACAGCTCTCCTCTGCCCAGGCCTTGTCCACCATACTGTTCATGTTTGAGCCCCTGCCGATGGACTGAAACTTCTGCAACTGAACCAAAATAAGCTTCTCCTTTCAGTTGTGGGTGTCAGGTATTGTGGTAACTAAGACACAATTGAATTTTTGTGTGTGTGTGCTGGTGATCAAACCTAGGGACTCGTGCATGCCAGACAAGTGCTGAGCCACTGAGCCATATCTCCAGCCCTTTAAAAAATTTATTTTGAGAAGGGTCTTGCTAAATTGCCCAGACTGTCTTTGAACTTCTGAACCTTCTTCCTCAGCCTCCCAGGTAGCTGGGATTACAGGTGAGTGCCTCTGTGCCCAGCTGCAACTGAAACAAAAATTTTAAATTCTTGTCCATGGACGTAAGTAATAATAAATCTGTGACATTAACATAACATTTAAAAAAGAAATAATAAAAACTATCTCCCAAAGGTAGTAAGAAGAGTGGCACTTTGTAAGGAACAGGATGATGTCTCGATCAACAGACTCAACTCCCCGACCCGCTCCTGTGTTCAGTGCTTTGCAGTGCAGTGCTTTGGTTGCAGCATGTGGTAAATCCCAGCACCAACAGGTGGTGGTCAGCATTCTTGTCTTCTCAGCTCTGACCAGTATCACCTGTCAAGCTCAGCTTATGGCATTCTTGGGCTTCTATAGGCATCTGAAGGCTTCTAAACCACGTGGTTGGGCAGTCATAATAATGACCCCACTCCTGGTACCAATATCTGTAATTGGTGACAGATGGAATAATTTATTCTGAGGGCCTGGTTAAACATCCACAGGATGACCTGCTGTAGCTGTTTAAAGTCATGTTTTTGCAAATAGCTTCATGATGTAGGTAAATTTTATCTGTTACAGAAAGTGGGCAATGAGCCCATATACTGAATGTAATTTCAGGTACTTTTTGTAGTGCATGCGTGTGCTTGTGTGACATGTGTGTACTGTGCGTGTGTGTCCAGGCCTTGGGTCTAGGCTCGTCTACGCATGCTGTTCACCATCGTCTATGGAGAGAAACGGCGTTGTGGGGGGACCTTCCCTCGCAGGGGCTCCCAGGCTTCCAAGGAGAGGGCACTCAGAGGACTAAGGATCGGACACCGGGCACCCTGGGAGGCCTGAGGGGTCCCAAGTGAACACGCTGTGGTGGCCCCTGTGACTCCAGGTGGGTCTCCGCCTTGGGTCTCAGGCGCACTGAGCACAGGCTGTACCCGGCTTGGGCCTGCGGTGGCAGGAGGTGGGCGGGGAGGGCATCGATCCCTCGCCCAGGGCTGCGCTGCATGAGGGGCATCCTGCAGGAAGCCTCGGGCCACGTGGGATGGCCAAGGATGTGGCCGGCAGGGACAGCACATGCAGGTAGGCACAGTGAGCTGATGACTGTGCAGCCCTGTCCGTGGCCCGCGTCCTCTGCCGAGCAGTCAGGTGGTGTTGCTGTGCACGTGAGGCCTTGTGCCTGCCTAATTGTTGACAGGCTTGTGTGGGAAGTGGACGTAGAGGCCTTTAAATGTTTTCCCATGTCTGTTTTTCAAAAACTTGAATACGCTTTTATAATCTGAAAATGTGACAGCTTCAAGTCCTGCAGATTTAGAAACAAGAGCCCAGTGCAGGTGCTCCCATCCGCAGTGGGGTCCGTCCCAATACCTGCGGGGCGAATCCTTCGGGGACAGTGACCTCCACTGAGGCGCTGAAGCCTGCGGGGCCATGTGTCACCGTTGCCCAGTAGGGAGTCTTGGGCCGACTGCTCTGTGGTGCTCCCGGCAGGACAGGTGGCTGGGGCGGAGGCCCGCTCTGACAAGGTGGGCGTGCTGTTCTGTCCCCAAGATCAGCAGGGACCATGAGCCCTGCGGAGAATCGGTCCAGCCTGGTTCACCGCTGCAGCCCGGCTGTACGGGGTCCCTGTCCCTGTCCCGCGGAGCAGCACAGGGCTCTTCCTCTGGGGACAGGAGGGCCCAGAGCAGGGGAGGGCGGAGTGGCGGCCCCGGGCTCCACACTTCCGGGCCGGCTGCGCTGATTTGCTTTCCTACAGCCACCCGTGGGACACGGTGATCAAGGCTGCCATGAGGAAGTACCCGAACCCCATGAACCCCAGCGTGGTGGGTGTGGATGTCCTGGAGCGCGCTGTGGATGGCCGAGGGCGGCTGCACAGCCTGCGCCTGCTAAGCACCGAGTGGGGGCTGCCGGGCCTGGTCACCGCGGTGAGGCGCTGTCCCCCCCATCCCTTCCCCGCGGCCGTCTGACCCCCACTCTGCAGTGCCAGCTCCTGCCCCTCCAGCTGCCCCAGCCTCTGTCCCATCCCCTGGTGACAGGACCCTCAGGGCCAGAGGCACTGTGTGTGGGGCTGGTTCCTGTCCCTGAGTGGGGGTGGCCTCCTGGGGCGGGCCGGGGGCTCCCCCTGACCTCCTGGTGACGCCCCTCGGAGGACACGCATCCCTGGTGATGTCTTCCCTCAGTCACTGCTGCGAAGGCCAGTGTCCGGGTCAGTCACATTCGGAGGTGCTGGGGTGGAGTCCACACCGGCATGTGGGGGACACAGGTCCCCCGTAATGGCCTCTTCCTCAAGCTGCTGGTGAGGGACAGTGTCCTGTGCCCAGTGCCCGACTCCTGGCCCCATCCCTGCAGCCTAACGCAGCCCGAGCTCGCCACTGTCTGCTGCCCTGGCCCCGCCCTGACCCCATTTTGTGTTTGGCCCGAGCTTTGACTGTGTCACCCACCGAACTCTGAATTCACTTCCCGGGTCTGACACCTCCTGGGACAGAAGCAACCCAGAGACAAGCTCTGTCCCCAGAGGCACCGTCTTTGGATAAGTGGATGGGAAACGGGACTTCGAGCATGTCATTGTGCCAGTTTTGTTTGTTTTTTAGATTTTGGGAACCAGTAGGACCCTGACCTACATCAAAGAGCACTCTGTGGTAGACCCAGCCGAGAAGAAAATGGAGCTTTTCTCCACCAATGTAAGCAGTGGCCAGGACGAAACGGGCCCAGGGGCCTGGGGGCCGAGCTGTCTCCCACCCGCCCTTGCTGTGCACGATTGTGCGTTCTTAGGAGGAAGACTGGGCCTATTTCCCAGTATTTTGTCTTTATTCCAGTGTAGTACATGTGTAGGGAGACGTAGGAATCCAGCCAGAACTGCATCTTGTGGCTGTTGGCTGGCCTGGTGTGTGCTGCACAGACGCTGGGCCCTGCTGGGTCCCCAAGGTGTCACTCGGGCCCACCGCCTAACTCGGTTGCTGTGCCCTGCCGAGCGCTGATTTGGGGTGCAGACGCCAGGCAGGGCTTTGAGGCGCGGAACCTGAAGCCCTGTTTCTTTCTCTCAAGGTCACATTGCGGAACCTGGTGTCGGTAAATGAGAGGCTGGTGTACGCCCCGCACCCAGAGCACCCCGGGAAGTGAGTCCCCGGCCTGGGGTGCAGGACGGCCTGGTGGGGGGCCTTCGCGGCAGCCCTAACTCCTGTCCTCCCACAGGACGGTGCTCACGCAGGAGGCTGTCATCTCCGTGGAGGGCACAGGCCTGGGCCGCTACCTGGAGAGCCTGATGGCCAGCACCATATCGTCCAACGCCAGGAAGGTGTGCACCCAGGCCCGTGCCAGAGCTCAGCCCCTGCACCCGCCCAGGGCCGGGCCCCTCAGTGACAGCAACTGACAGGCAGGGCACCTGCGCGCCTCCCGCTGGCAGCATCCAGACCAGCTGGGTGGGGTGGAGGAGGGAGAAGGCGGGAGGGGCTGGCCAGTGAACGCCTGGCTTGGGACGCTCTGCCTTCAGGCTCCTCCCCGGCCGCCCTCCCTCGCCCAGCCCCTCCACGACTCCACTTCATCTTGGGCACTGCTGCCCGCCCACCGCCCGGTGACACCTGGGCCGTCCTGTCCTCCCCACGCAGCTGCTGTCCGCCGACCGCTCACGGGCAGCAGAGCCAGCCCCGTCTTGGGAGCAGACTCCTGGGGTGGGGGCTGTGACCTTGAGACTGGGCCCCTCCTCCCTGCTTCCCTGTGCTCAGCTCTGCCCCAGGCCGAGCTCAGGCTTTGCCGGGAGGAAGAAGCACGAGGCTGACTCTGGGGAAGAAACCGGGGTGGAGCCCCGGAGCCCCGGCTGCCCTTACTCTAGCTTCACGGGGGTGCGGCGGCCCTGGTGCCTGCCAGTGTCCCCGGCCCTGGTGCAGTGTCGCCGCTGCTGTGTACCTGGTGAGGACGGGAGTGTAGCAGCAGCTGGTAGCAGCCCCGGCAGGGATCTGGGGCCGGGGTCACACTGCGGGCCGGTCTTGGTCAGGGGCCTGGGGTCAGGCCCTCACTGCCCATCCCGTCGCTGCAGGGTTGGGCAGCCATCGAGTGGATCATCAAGCACTCGGAGAGTTCCGCGGGCTAGGGTCGCGCCCGTGCCTGTGGTCACCGTGGTCCCGGACAGCGTGCGCCTGGTACAGACCCAGCGTGGCTGGCGGGTGTGCGTGGTGTCTTGGCTGGGGCACTGCCCGCTCCGCCCCTCGCCCCCCGGCTGGCCTGGCTGCTGGACATCCCCGGGGTGTGCCTAGCTTGGGGGGGAGGGAGGGACTCCACGCGTGGGGCGGGGCCGGGTGGAGGCTGACCGGAAGGGCAGTTGGGGTGAAATGTGCAGACTTTCACGCAGCCCTGGGGCGGGGCTGAGGCCTCGGTGCCGCCACTGAGCTGTGCCCCAGCCCGCGGGGTCCTCCGCCAAGGTCCTTGGGGTCTTTTCCTGCGCTGGGCCGTGCTCGGCCACTGGCGTCGCCCTGTGCCCCCAGCTTCCGCAGCCGTGCTGGGCTGAGGGTGAGGTGGTGCAGGGGCCGCCCTCGCCTAGCCGGTGCAGCTGCCTCTGCTCGGGTGCCGCCCACACATGCCTGAGGCCCCTGGCCCGCTGAGCTGCGCTCCCCACCCTCCGTCCATCTGTGCTCCTGTCCCCGTGGGCTCTGGGCAACTGTAGGAAGCTGCTCGTGTTGCCGGGGGCCGTGCGCACAGCAGGAGCTCTCAGGGCTGGGGCTGGTGTGTGTGCCGTGCCTGTGTCGCGCTGTCGCCTGTGAGCCCAGGCTCCCGGGCTTCTGTGCTCATGAGCCAGCGCTAACCTGCCCCGTCTTCGTCTCTAACCAGCTCCTCACCAACGGAGGCAGAGGAGGAAGGAGGCGAGCAGCAAGAAGGCAGGCACAGAAAGGGGTCGGTGAGGACGCCCCTGCGCTGCCTGTGTGGGAGAGGAGCCTGCGGCTCTGCCTGCACTGCCCAGGAACGAGGGAGGCGCTTCGCATCCCGCCCTGAGCTGCCCTGAGCTCTGTGCCTGTGCCGGAGGGGCTGCGGGTGCCTTCGCCTGCGCCCCCAGGCCTCCTGCCGCCCTGTGGTCCTGCTGAGGACTCGACCTCAGGACTCCGCTGTCCCAAGGCCCGGGGCTGCTCCTGTCCCATCACCATTTCCCTGGCACTCAGGCATGGCTGAGAAGGGGCCCGAGTGAGAGGACCCTGTCGTGCTCCATCAGGGTCGACTGAGCAGGGTGGGCCCGGAGCCCCAGGCCCTTGCCGGGCGGCACAAGGTGGCCCGGGTGCTCTGGGGAAGGGGCCTCTGTCAGTCACTGGCCACTCAAACCCTGACAGCCAAGGCAGGGTGAGAATGAGCACTGCTTGCTGTGCTTTCTGTTGCAAATTGACATTCTGTCTTGAGGTGGTCACTGAGGAAGCAGAAATATATATATGTATGTATGTCTATAGCATTTTTCAGTGCTGGAGACTAAACCCAGGGCCTTTGTATTGAGCCATGTCCTCAGCCCTTGTTAATTTTTTTTGAGATAGGGTCTCATTAAGTCACTAAGTTTTGGAGACTGGGCTTGAATGTGGGATCCTCCTGCCTCAGCCTCCCAGAGTGCTTCAATTACAGGCTTGTGCTACCATGCCTGGTAATGTTTGGCTGTAATGTTGGTTGGAAGTGGATCTAGCATTTATTTTTACAACCATGTCTATTTTAAAGTCATAAGCACAGAAGTAAATGTGTGAGAAAATACTAGGGAAGAAGGCTAACCTCGATTTCTGATTTGAAAAAGGAGTCAGAAGTCAGGTTTAATCATCCATTGCTGTTCTGTGATCTTTAAACACTGCTCTTCCATCACCATTCACAAGGTCCCGGGACAAAGCATCCTGAAGGGCAGCCCAGGCCCTGAGATGCTCCGGGGCAAGTGAAAACTGAGGCGCAGCACCGGCTGGGAGTGCTGTTCTAACGGGGCTGCAGCCAGGAGCAGGCCCGAGTGCAGCCTCAGGGCCGGGGCTGTTCCTGGCTGGTCCAGGCCTGGGAACGGCCCTTGGCTGTGCTGGACGGGTCTTCTGCTGGGCTCCCCAGGCCAGAGCTGTGGCGAAGCTGAGCCCCTGCCGCCCTCAGAGTGTCAGGCTGCAGGCTCAGGAGCCCAGCTTGGAGCGACCGGCCAGCAGTTGTGATGCAGCCGCGGCTAAGACCACACAGGTGTGCCAGGGCCGACTTTCGCCTTCCCAGAGCGTTTGATCTGCCAGGGCACGGGCCACACACGGTAGGTCGGGTTCAGGATAGGGACTTTAACTGCACGCGTAACAAGTAACACACAGTACCTACTGGTGTTAGAGTGGGAACGAACTTGCAGAGGGATGTTCTTTCTTAATGCCTAAGCTTCACCAGCCTAGTTTCCTGGGAGAAATGAGCTGGAAAAGACGAATCCTTATAACATGGTGTCACCTGCCCCGGCTGCATTTGAGGCGTGGGTGCCCCCTAGGGTCCCAGGGACAAGGAGACCCCCGCAGGCTGTAGTCCCCTCTGTGACAGCTGTGCCTGCTCAGCCTGTCCAGCCGGGGGTGGGGGGTGTGGGGAGGTGTTCAAGGCCGCCTCCCAGCCACCTCCAAGCCCTTGTCTGGTCTCAGCGCTGTGTACATAGTTGTACTGTCATTTAGGAAATAATAAAAGTCTGTGTGTGCTCAGCACAGACGTAATTATTTTTGGCCCACATATTTTTGATCTGGAGTTGCCTGAATCTGAGGGTGTGGAACCACGAACCCCGGTGGGGCGGTGTGTGCACACTCGAGAACACCTGGAGTCTCCCGCCCTGGCGCTGCTCTCTGCTCCTGGCCCGGGTCTGGCGGGTGTGCACGCCAGGCAATGTCAACCTCGTGCAGAGCCCATGACGGCTGGTGACGCTGGAAACCCAGCTGTCCTCTGAGGCTGCCCGGCTCTCGGCCGTCCTGCTTTGGGCAGTGCCTGGCTCCCTTCCTGTCAGGAAAGCCATGGCTCTGAGCGCCGGACGGAAATTGTTCATGCGCATCTTGTTGGAGCCAGGGGCCTTGCAGCGTCTAAAGAACACGTGACAGTTTGCCTCCAAGACACTGCCTCACCTTGGACAGCACAGGCTTGGAGGGGGCCTTGCTGCTGGAGTCTCCACAGAGCCCCCTCAGCTCCGCTTCTGGCCAAGCCGGGCCCAGTCCCCAGGACCTCAGTGAGGTGCAAATGAAACCCCTCAGCGCAGGGGCAAGTGAGGGGCCTGGCGCGTCACAGAAAGCACTGCCAACGCCATTGCAAGGGGCCCTGTGCAGCCCTTGATCACAGAGCAAAGCACACCTTTCCAGTGAACGGCTTTCCTTCCCCCCCGCTTCTGGTCAGTGCTGCTGTTTCCCAAATGCAGCCTGCATCCCTGAGACCTGTCCCCACACCCGGTCTCCACAGCTGCTGCCAGAGCCCTTGAGACCCGATACCCTGCCAGTGGCTCAGCTCGGTTCTGACCCTCTCGCTGCCTGCTCCACGGGTGTGGGGCTCTGGTGGTGGCCACTGCCCTGACCTCGCCCAACCAAGTGCAGGGCCGGCCTGTGTGGTCTGGCGCGGGGGGCGCTGGGTGACTTGTGGACGGGTCCCAAGGGGCAAGGACTTTGCTGCCACCTGGCAGGGGCACTTGGCCCAAGAGGCCTGCAGGGCCCACGGCTGGGTGTGAGGCCACCACAGCCCCTCAATGTCTCCCCCAGGGGACACTCCCCAACTCCTGAAGCCTGGAGGCTCCACTGATGAATGCTCGTGGCATGAGCACCTGTGCCCACCCCGTCCACGCTGTCATGCTGCTGGGGACAGCGCTGCCTGGACGCCTCCACCGGAGCTGATGCAGGGTCCTGGGCCTCTGGAATCCCGGGCCACCGTCCCCACCCACAGAGCTCTGCTCCCAGACGTCCCTGTCCCCACTCCGTCCCGGAGAGTGGTGTCTGGGTGACCCTGCCCACTGCTCCACACACATCTGACCCACTGGCCACGAGGTCTCTGAGCCTGGTGTGGCTGCCCTTCGGTGAGGACGGCCTTGCTGTGGGAAAGATGAGCGAGTGGCCGAGGGTGCTGGCAAGGTTGGAGCTGCCGTGAGTGCTGGGCCAGGATGCAGCTTCCTGGCTTGCTGGGCCCCAGAGGAAGTGAATACAGGAAGCTCTCAGGAAAAACAAACGAGCCCAGGGCCCAGGGCTAGGCACAGTGCTGGACACACGTTCTACCCCTGAACTATGCCCCAGCCCTATTTTTAAAAGTAGCCAGGCACAACTGCACCCCTGCAGTCCCACCTATTCAGGAGGCTGAGGCAGGGGAATCACTTGAGCCCAGGAATTTGAAACCAGCCTGAGCAGCATAGTGAGATCTCTGTCTCAAAGAAAAAGAAATACTTTGTAAATTGTATATTAATAAACATAATCAGCACAGAGTATTCAATATCATAAAGTGTAATTTCATGATTTCCTTTGGCTTCTTGGCCAAATTATTTTAACATGACAAATTTTTTTTTTCTGGTACCAGGGATATTGAACTCAGGACCTTGTGTTTGCAAGGCAGACAGCGGAACCACTGAGCTAAATCCCAGCCCTAACATGACAAATTTCAAATAGTTTTATATTTATTTCAGCTAAAGTGGCTTAACATTTTACACACAATTTTTGTGGCTGCTGGTGAGTCAGCAGTGCTGGAGAGGCAGGTAGTAGAGGCTGCACAAGGATGAACCTGGTCCTAAGAAGCAGGCCCTTTGCGCCCAGCAGCAGCTTCCGGGTGTCCCAGGGCCACACGTGTGTCCTCAGCAGTGCGGCGCTGGCCCTGGGGCTGGAGGAGGCCTTGGGGCTGTGGCGGGTTTCTGGAGCCCGAGGTGCGATCTCCCTCCTTTCATTGCTCCTGCAAGGCTGCAGTCTGTGCCGCGTGGTCGGCTGTGGGGAATTGCGTGTCCACCTGCTAGGGAGCGGGCAGCACACAGCCAGCGTCCCCAGGACACCGCTGTGGGCCGTCACGTCTCGCTGGTCCTCACTTCCCGAGGAACCCATGCTGTCACTCGGGCCCTGGATGCTGTGCCTGTCCCGTGGCACAGGCCCGCGGCGGGATGGGAACTGAGCCCCTCAGCCAGAGGGCTGGTGAGCATGGGGCCCACTGGGCGCTTGCTCTGCGGGAGCAAGGCTGGCCCGGTCCTGGATGTGCCAGGCGAGTCCCCCATTGGCAGAGGACGTGGCCCACTGGATGTCCTCTGGCCAGAATGCAGAGGCCCGAGGCGGCGGAAGGCGAGGCGTGTGGCTCGGAGGGTGGGAGACAACTTCCGGACGGCTGCCACTAACGCACGCAGACACTGCACACAAGCTGGGCCATGAGAGCCCGAGGCGCAGCTCCTCTGTCCCACATGGAGGCGCTGTGGTGGCTTTTCTGTGTGGTTGGCTGCAGCCAGCGATTCTCCATGGCCCCTCAGGGAGTGCATGCCGTGGGGACCGAGAGCTGCCATGGGGCCTGGCAGACGGATGCCCAGGGTGTCGATGCCACTAACACCATGCAGCCAGCAAAGGGGCTCCTGTGTCACTCTCCTTTCTGAGGGTTCTAATGTGTTTATAGCAAATCAGAACTGAGTTTGCCCCTGCTGTGAGTTTCAGATCCACATAACACATTTTGCCCCTTTCCTTCCTCCCACATCAGGTCTTGTTCATGACCAGGTCTGACCCCAACCCAGAGAAACACGGTTCAGACTCGGGCAGAGGGGCAGCCTGGTCCCCGTGCTCCTCGAGGTAGTCTGTGGAGCCTGCGCGGTGCTGTCACACAGTGGCTCAAGAGTCGCACGTGATTGAAGGGGGCCCTGGCGGCCACCAGCCTAACCCCCTTCTTAAGAGAGAAGAAACACAACCCGTGTGAGGAGGACTTTCCCAGGGGACACTGCTGCGCCCAGGCCGAGGCCCTGTGTGTTTCACTCAGTGGCCTGAAAGCCAGGCCGTCGCTCGTCTTCCGTTCGCAGGCTGCGAGTGCTGGGTCCTAAGTGGCCACTGTGCAGGTGAGCACGGTGGCGTCCTCCGTCCCTGCAGGGCCCAGCAGCGCATGTCGGGCGGGCGGCACCACCAGAGCTGCACATCCTTTCCATGTCGCTGCTCTGCACAGCTTGAGCGCAGCTGTGACCCTGGGTCCGCCTCAGGCCGGCTCTTGCAGAGGGCCCAGCTGCTCCCGGCGTCCTCCCTGCTGGCGTACACCGGTTCTCTGCTTCCTCGAGGCCCCACTGGGGTGCGCCGTGCAGTGGTGACCTGCTCCCGAGCTGTGTGCCTGTCCCCTGCGCGGGCGGAGTCCAGCAGCATCCTCCAACCCGGCAGGAGCTGCTGTGAGGGGCCCTGCTTTCCCCTGGCAGGTGCCAGGCCAGGGGCACACCGGGGAGGGGGAGGGGGGAGGGCTTTATCCCAACTCCTCACACTGCGCAGTCTGCACAGGCTGTGTGGTATCTGTCACTCCTCAAAGTGGTTGGAAACGTTACCTACCTATACACGACCGGTCCCCAGATATGAATCACACACTCCAGACAATCTCAATCCCCGACGTGCGGGGTTGGGAGCAGAGTGGCCCTGGTCCGCAGCACTGGGCTTGGTGGCAGGACTCTGCCACCCGGGAATCCGTGACCAACCATGGAGAAGGCCCCGCCTCCCAGCCGGCACCAAGAGCCAATGGCACGGCAGGGACACTGTGCATTTGTCCCTAGTACACTGGAAAATAAGACACTTAAACGGAGAGCACTGCTGATACTCGCCCTGCGTCTGCCACACCTGACTTGCACAGGGAGGCCAGGCCACGCCACACACCTCAGAACCGAAACTTCCCAAGTTTCCTGCATGGCACCCAAGAAAAGCCCCGCGTTTATTAACAGTTAGAAAATGTCACAGAGTGAGGTAGTATGCTAATCACGCCATCTCTTCAACATCAGGGCTTCAACTCCTACATAACCGCCTCTGGCTTCACAAGAGAGTGAGTCGGACGTGCCAAGTGGGTGACACCCACTGCCTCGGGAGTGAACCCCACCCAGTGGAAGACTTCCAACATTAACGAACACGTGACCCCTCCCCAAGCACTCTGACACTGGCAGGGGGTGAAGCGTGGGGTGGGACAGGTGACCCGGAGTGGGGCGGCCAGGAAGGTGCCCGGGCCTGCAGGGAGTCAGGAGGGACGTGTGGCGCGTCTGCCTAGCCAGCCTGCCTGCTGCCTGCGGTGCTGAGGGCAGGCTTGGGGCGACGGTGCCCACGGACCCTGCAGCCCAGGAAGAGGCCATCGCCACCTGGCATCCTGGGCTGCACCAAATGCCTGAGGACGTGAGGGAAGCAAACCAGACTCCCTGGCAACTACTCTGGGTGCAGGAGTGAAATGCTCGTTTGCGGAGTTCCTCTTGTTGGACTACAAACAGTAACTGCCATTATTTCACTGTGCTTCCCAGCAGGCTCAAACTTGCAGTCCATCTCAGCCTCCTGGTGGCTGGGATCACAGGTGTGCGCCCCAGCCCAACCCCAACGCCACGTCCTCTTCCTGGCCCTCACCTCAAGAGCTCACACCTGGGCTGTGAAGTGCAGCGTCCCTTGGAAAATTTACAGACAAGAGCCGCCCGATCTAATTCTTTTTTTTTTTTTTGGTACCGGGGATCGAACTCGGGACCTTCCACTTGCGAGGCAGGCGCCGGAACCACTGATCTAAATCCCCGGCCCCAATCTAATTCTTAAAGCTCTTAAACAACTCTTCAAGATGGTGGAAGCACAGTCAGTAGGGGTTTTCTGGTGGCCCACTCTTACATGCAATACAGACAAACTATTAGCGTGCATTATTTGAGTCAACTCGTAAAGTTTATTTTATAGGTCTAGGTAGTTTAAAGCCATTTACTAAGTTGTAAATTTCCACCCAGTAAAAACTACCGCTGGAGCAGCGGTGAGGTACGGCCATTACTCGACGTGGACATGTCTCGGGACAGCGTCTCGGGTGGGGGCCGGGCTGGCCATGGCTGTGTCCCACACGATCAGAAGTGCTGTGCACGCGCACAGAGGACTGCAAAAGCGATGGCCTCCAGGGGCCAACCCTCAGCAGACGCCCAGGTCATCAGCCCAAGTCACAGGAGGGCAGAGGGGATCCCAATATCTGCCAGTGCGGGTAAATTTTCTTGTACTTTTAAAAGAGCTAGGTATTTTTTCCTTTTAAAATTCATTTACAAAAATAAACTTCAGTTTGAGACCTTAGGTACTAAATTGTGGCTTAATTTAATTGAGAAAGCTGCACTAGAAAGTTAAGAAAACACTGCAGATGCACACGCCCCGGCTCCCTCCCCTGGCACCCTGGACGCCACAGCTTCTCGGTCACCCGGAATACACGTGGCCGCTCAGACTTGGTGTCTGTCGCCCAAATGCCCACAGAACTCCAGCTTCCCGACTCGTCATTAACTGTTAGTAACGGTAATACATTCAGGGCAGGCCATCGGCTGGGGACACTGTGGGGCCAGCGGCTCTGCACCAGCGTGGCCTGGAGCTTGCGGCCCTCGCAGGAACCCGGAGCCAGGCTGTGGCACTGCTTCTCGGGAAGCCAGCATGACTCACTGCCATGGACCGTGCTGACAGCGGCCCAGCAGGCTGACTTCTCACCCGAGAAGCTCCGAACCCTAGTCAGGGACACATCAGGGGACCACAGGGAACCCACGCAGGGCAGCACCCAGCTCCATATCCACACGCCAAAGCCAGCCTCACCCGCCGCCCCCAACCTGGCTGCCCCACGTCACCCCAGGGACGACAGCGCGGTGGGACCTGACAGATGGGAGCCTCTCTGCCCGGGGAAGGCGTGGCTCAGATCTCGCTGATGGTCCGCTCCGAAGGACAGTACTCCGCGGCTGCCGACGAGGACACGTAGAAAGACTGCGTCTTCCGCTTCAACCGGGCTCGCTTGTTGGCCAGCACCAGGCTGCGCCGGCTGGAGCTGATGATCTCAGAGATGAACTTCTTGCAGTCCACACACACCTCCATCGCGCTCCAATCCTCCATGAGCTCCTTGGGGAACTGGAGCTCCTCGTCCACTTTGTCCACAGACCTAGTCTTCGAGGAAAACCTGGAAAAAAGCCCCAGAGCCACTCAGTTTTTTGCTTTTTGTTTTACTGTAATACTGAGGTTGTATAAAAAACAATTTGTTGCCAAAATGCTGTGGAATGGGTGAATAATTTAATCATAGCATGTTCCTCCAAAGAAGAATTTCCTGGGCTGGGGATTTAGCTCAGTGGTGCCACGACTGCCTGGCAAGTGCAAGGTCCTGAGTTCGATCCCCGGTACCGAGGAAAAGTAAAAAAAAAGGAGTCTCTTAGTAGAGACAAAGCTCACAATATTTTTCAAAAAGACACCAGATTAGGAAACAACACTGAAAAGTTGTCCCTCTAGAATTCTGGAAACAAGGATTCATCTGACTACCAGGCATCTATTAGACTGTGTCTGTGCCTGAGCTCCTGCTGGTGAGTTAGAAGCATCCGGGGCCCTGTGGCCTGAGCAGAGGGTTGTTAGTCATTGGTGGACAGCAAGTCAGACTGCAGGAAACCTAATCTTAGGACACGCCCTGAAAGCTTGTCATCTGTGTTTGTCAAGGGCCGTCTGCACCCCAGCACTGTTTGTATGGCTGTGGCTGGGTATCTGGACTCCAGAGCTGGAGTTAGCTCAGTGTTTTTGGAAGGTCTTGGGTAGAGGGAGCGCCTACCGGTAGCTACTTAATGAACCCAGCAGGAACCAACTCGAGGATCTAGCAGCTCCAGAGAGCGCGTGTCACCACGCAGGACATGCGTCTGGGCTCACACAGCCTGTCTTCCTCCTCTCCCGCCTCCTCGGGCCTGCCAACCGTGCCAGCGGCAGCCCGTGCACAGGGCCTAGCACTCAGGCAATGGTGTCCCCCAAACTGGCAGCTCCTGCAGCAACTTTACTGCCGCCCTTCCCATCCTAAGGAAAGGATGGTTTCCTGGTTTTGTAAACACAGGATTGGAAAGATTTTCTTTCCAGAGAGGGAAGGAGGATTAGATGTTACATGCAAGCTTTCAACTCCACTACAAACAGGTCAGTTTTAAAGATAGGTAACTTTAAAAGGACAGTAAGGTAGTTATTTCCCAAGTAGAAAAAATGTAAACCACAGGATTAAAGTACCCTCTCGGTCAGGAGCCCTCACCCGAGAGGCCGCCTCTGGACGTTTTGACAGTCCCTGCGCAGGTCTGAGGCTGCACCTGGCCCCATGCCAACCTCCCCAGGCCCCAGGCTGCCTCTGGCTCTGGGCCAGCAGGACACCAGGGGCTTTCAACCCGGCTGCACCCACCTGGCGATGCTCCGCAGTGGCCGATGGTGGCCAGCAGAGGGCTTCTCTGACGGCATGCTGTCACCTCTTTGCAAGGCAGAAGGTCCCAAGGAGAAGATCGGGAGCGTGGAGTATGGCTTGGAGGGCAGCCGCATCTGCTCACCAGAGAGCTGAGCATGAGCAGACAGATAAAGGGCAGAGGCAGCGCAGGGCCCGCGGTGCGGCCCTCTCACCGGGCTCAGCTTACCTTCTTGCAGCACTGCGAGCACACGGGCCTGCGCATAAAATCAGAAGCATTACTGGAGCGGCAGAGGCACAACTTCGAGGCTTTCCCCAGTACCTGCCGGGGCCCTCCTGACAGAGCCCACAGGCGACACTGCTGGGCACTGAGACAAGACAGCTGGCCTCCACGAGAGTGCCGGCCTCTGCCGGGTTTCCCTACTCGTCTACCCATGGACCTCGTGGGAACCACGCCTTTGTGCTTTGCTTTCTGTTTGAGCACAACTGACTGCATATTAGAGCTCCCTTGTTTACAAGAGGAACACTTCGGGTTCAACAGCAATAGTGGGCCGACTTATGAAAACCCTATTCCCAAGCACCAGGCCCGGCACAGGTCGGTGGAGCGATGGCACAGTGGTGGGCGGGAGGCCACCGTGCTCCGCCCCGACTCGGGAGCCTGTGACTCACCTCTTACAGAACTGACAGGTGTACGACCAGGTGAAGAAGGAAAACCTCCGGGTTCTGCAGCAGAAACAGAGCTAAAAACACAGAGTTAAGAGGAGCAAGGAGCAGGGAGACAGAGCCCTCCTGCCCTGCCTGCGCTCACATCACCGAGGAGGAGGACAGTCTCGAGTCTGCCTCCTTCTGGCCTCTGCTGCTTGGCGCCAGATGTGCTGCGCCTCAGAGCTGCCGCAGGGAGGCAGCGGAGGGGTGCTGAGAAGCGCTCCCTTCTCCACCAACCCTTCCGCAGCCTAGACTGGGGGCCAGTGCGGCAGCTTCTACACTGGCCCCAGACTGTGGCCAAGATGGTCACCAGAGTGTGGCCCCTCACCTCCAGACCTGAGGACCCTGACTGCACCCCCGCCCGCCTCGGCAGTCCTACCTTGCCCTTCTTCAGGGCGGTGTAGACATCCTTGTACTGCTGGTACTTCTCCAGCTCCGCCTTGACCAGCACCTGCCGGATGTGCATCACCTCCTCCACAGTGAGCGCCAGGCACTCCACCGGGTAGCAGAACTCCTCCTGCAAGGCAAGGGGCCGAGTCGCATGCCACCCCGGCCGCGCTGTAGCCTCCCTCGTGGCAGACAGCGTTAGTAGCTTAGAGAGAGGATAGCATCCCGTGATCAGAGGGACAGAGCCAGCCCCTGGGGACCACACCATTCCAGTGCCGCAGGACGTGGACCACAGGAAACAGCGATTGTCCAGGCCATGAAGGCTCTTCTGTGGGTCGGCTTTGCGCCTCCCCTGGTTCTAGTCCATTTGCAAGGTGTGTCCTGTGTTTGGACTTTTGAAAATAATTTTGTTGTTTCAGGACAATTTTTGGTCTTTCTCCTACAACTCCAGATGTGAGTGCTGTGTGTGATCCACTGCCAGACAGCACGCCTGTGACACTGGTCCTGCTGTGGGGCCCAGGGCGCCCCAGGGAGGGTGGTTAGTGCTTGGTGCTGATAAGCGTCATGAGGGGTCAGTGACATCCACGCTTCATAAACCCTGACAGCCCAGTGGGGCTGGGACGTCAAGCCCGGGGGCTGTCCCTGTAGAGGTCAGTTGGCTGCCGCCTGTGCCCATGGCCAGCTGTGAAGGCAAGGCTGTCACTGATCCCTCTGCACAGGAGAGATCCCTCGCCCATCTGCGCTCCATCTGACCAGCTCAGGCTGGGGATCTAAGAGAAAGACAGAACAGCCTTGACCTCCTGGCCGCCAGGCTTCAGGGCCCCTTGTGGGGCGGTGACACTGAGCTGAATGTCCCGACAGACACGTTAGGGTTCTCCCCACATAGCGCAGCCCACAGGCACCGGCCCGATGAGAAGCCTGTACACAGCTGTGCCCGGCGCAGGCGACTTGTGCGCTTCTGACATTCGGTTCTGTCTTTCAATCAGAGAAAACAAAAATCGAGGTTGCAAACTTGACAAACATTAGCATTTACTAAAAAGAGCAGCATGAAGCCTGCTGCTTCTTACTGAAATGATAGGAAGTCGCCTCTGTCCACGCTGACCTAGGTCAGATCTGCTTACGATGCTTGCAGAGGCCCAGTGCCTGTGCCTCCAGGCGGACGGACGCAGAGTCAGGGCGGCCTTGGTCACAAGGGCTGCATTTCCCTGCCAACAGCGGCCATCGCCGGTCACCATCACATCCCTCTCTCCCTCGCGGTGACAGGATTAAATGGCTGCTCAGTTCTGCCGGGTTTGCTCACCCTGAACAGAGTGCCTTGTGCCGAGTAGGGTTTTCCTCTGTGAGGAACGTTTTGAAAGACATTTCCCTGCAGCCTCTTTATTTGTACTCTGCTGATGCTAACACTAGGACAGAGCTGCTGAGCTGGGCGGTGCCAGGCCGGGGTCCAGCAAGCACCCCGTTAGCACCAGGCTTGAGGCTGGCAACTGACCAGGCAGCCAGAGGGGTCCCTGTGCCTGCGAGGGCATGGGAGGAGGCCCCTCATTAACTCTGCACGCCGCGGCCTGGGGCCGGGGAAACTTCGGACCTCCCGCTGGAAGCCTGTGCCCTCCCCAGCTGTGAGTCCCCGAAAGACCAAGGCGGGCCAGCCTTCAACTTCCTGTTCTGAGCCTTCGGCAGACCCAGTACTTTCTAAGAAATCAGACTTCTGTTCCCTTCTTCTCTTATTCTTTAACAAAATGTCAAGAAGACTCCCTTTAGTGAAGTAATTTTCCTCAGGTCAAATGCTAATGTTTTAATTTTGGAGCTTTCCTAAGGACAACAAGACTTGAATGCAACATCAAACACAGTGACAAGCAGTGACTAGGTCAGTTTCAGTTATTCTTGCAATTGACAAAAATGTTCACCCAATATTCCCGAGGCCTAAGCGGATGCGCCGAGGCCGAGCTGGCCAGGCTCCCCAGGGTCTGGCATGAGCGAGCCCCGCTCACAGCAACCTGGGTGCAGTCCCCATGGCTGCCACCCTGGAGGTGCGGGGCAGGGCTCTGCCTGCACAGCCCGCTTCTCTGCTTTCTCCCTTTCCTGTTTCAAATTTAGGAAAGGAAACTAAATTTTAAGAGTTCTACTAAACATACAATGTGCTCTACGGACCGACACGCCTTGAGAATTTGGTTGCATGGCATGAGTCACTAAAACCGCTGGGCTTTTACTAAATACTCTGGACATCTTTTACCTACTGGCGCGTTCAGAGTTAGCACGGAGAGTAGAGAGTGGAACGAAATGTCCGGTCACTGCGCCACAGTGTGAATGGGAGTTGGCACCTTTTATACCATGTTTTTGGTCAGGAAAAATCCCGTACAAATTAGGCAGACCTTTGAAAGTTATGCAAAACAGCCCCTAATTCCAAGGTTTTAATAAGCCAAATAAAGGCAAATTTAAATAAAAACACCAACTATTAAGTTCAGTTACACTCAGTGCTGAAGCTCAGAGAGAGGCCCCCCTTTGCCCAGGGCAGCCTGTGGACCCCGAGTGGCACCTGCTTGGGGGTCATGGGTAATAAAGCCACCCTGCACCTGGCCCTGTGGGACAGAGCACTTCCTGCAGTCTCCTTTCTGGGCCAGGAGGAGCCAGGCCCTGGGCTCACAGGCCCAACTACGGTCCCCACAGTGGGAGCCCACGTGATAGTAAAACACGACTGTATGAGGAAATCTCAAAAAGTACTTAAAAGGCTTCACCAATAAAAGAAATTTTACAATTTCTCTTGACAGAGAAGCAACAATGTGACCATCACAGAGCCGTGTGGTGGTGCTGGGAAGAGGTCAGGTCTCAGAGCCCTGGAGGGGCCTCGGGGAATGTGGGGTGAGCCAGCGGGCCAGGCAGCATCTCCCAGAGTGCAGGAGGCCCAGGAGGAAAGGTCCCCAGCCAGGCGGAGACCTCGAGTCCCCAGGACAAGGACACCCACCACTCTCCTGTCTGATGCTGCATTCTGAGTCTGTTGTCCTTTCAGTGATTTATCTCCCGCTGGAAAGAGACCATGGCATGATCTATGCATCCTACACAAGACTGGAATCATTGACCAGAAGCAGTTAATTCTTACAGAGTACAGCAGCTGTCACTGTCAGAAGGAGACAGCGAGGGAAGGGTCCCAGAACCAGCAGAAAGAGGCCAACCTGTGCGGGTCTCCACCTGCTGGCCAAAGCTCTCTCACACAGATAATACACAGCCCCTGCCACCCCAAACATGGCCGCTTCCAGAGGGTGGGAGCCGAGCAGAGAAGCTGTGTGTATGGTAGAGAAAAGCGGTCGGAAAGATGTCCTTGGCCATACACTGGTCGTCCTAGGAACCTGAACGACAGGGAGAAAAATGGCAGGGAAAGAAAAGCAGACAGTCATGCTGATCTCGAGTGACCTACAAACAGCAGCCACAGATCATGAATGAAAAACGACAAAACACCACAGGGCAGTGACGGCCCCGCTGAGGCGGTGTCCATGTGTGCGGCCAGCAGCCGAGAGCCTGGGCTCCCGAGCTCATCGAGTCTCCGGCTGCCAGAGCATCTGTGGGGACACAGCCCCCACGCCACACAGCCCAGCCCCACCGCCATCTGACCGAGTGACAGCAAAGTTACATTTGAAGCATCCTACAGAGAGAAAAATTATCCACAACAAAAACATTCTTGCCATTTTCGGTTGAGGGGTGACAAACACAAAAGATTCCTTGTTTTCTAAAACACAGCTGAATTCTAAACCAATTACCATTTTTACAAATGGTGCTCCCTGGGCTGGACGTCACGGACTCCAGGAAGAGCCATCAGTGAGAGAGGAGCCTGGCCTGCGTGGGGTGCTGTCCACCACCCTATGCCTATGGACGCGGTGCCCTCCAGGCCCCCGCTCCCGCCTGTCCTGCCCTGTTCTCACTCTGCAAGGTCTCCCTGCCACCCTTCCTTCTCCACCGGGACACAGCTCCCAGGGACCTGGCACACTCCAAGGCCTGGCAGGACCTCCGTCAGGACACGTGGCTCTGTGGTTGGCCCGAGGCTCCTCCATCCACCCTGGCAATGATGCATGGTCACAAGTGCCAGGTCCAGAGGGGCCGAGCCACTGACTTCTGGGAAAAGCTGGCTGAAGAGAAGATGCTACTTTTCATTTTGGGGGGTTTTTTATTTTTTATTTTTGGTACCAGGGATTGAACTCGTGCCCTTGCGCTTGTGAGGCAGGCGGCGGAGCCACTGAGCTACCTCCCCAGCCCAAGATGCTACTTTTCAAGACATGAAAAAACCACAAGGGTGCTCCTCTGACATATCTGTGAGCTGTGACCATAAACATCTACACTGGAACAGCGACAGCTTGTTCCCTTGGTGGAGCTGTGCAGTGTGGCAATCGAGCCTGTCTGGCCAGGGTTCTGCTTTTCTCTGGCAGCCACCCAAAGGCTGGACTTCTGGAACAGCAGTGTTCTGAGATCATGCAGGGTTGAGGACTCACCAGGATGGTCAGCAAGTCACTCACTCCCTACGTGCGTTATCTGAAATGTGGGCGACTGACCAAAGCCCTGTGCCCGCAGTGTGCCCATCAGAGGGCAGCATCCACCGGCTTCCTGTGAGCCCTGGGATGAGCACAGCATGCCCTGGCCTCCGTGTTCCTGACCCCCCGCTGTGGCGGGCACTGGGGGGCGCTGCTTCTCGGGCTCTGAACCAGGTGCAGCTGAGGCGCCTCCCCCAGCTGCCCCCACAGGGCCTGCATGCCCATCCCACGCAGCGGTCCTGCCCCCCCCCACCCCGGGCCCGAGTCTCCCTCTCTTGGGCTTTTGCTCAGTCCAACTGCGCAGCGTCTTCTGATCTGTTTTTAACAATTTTAAAGTGGATTAATATCCATTCAAAGGCAGAAAGCATTTCTTCAATGATCCACTGATACATCTGAGGGAAAAAGGACTCAAAATGAACAAAGACTGGTCAGGTTTCAAGTTTCGATCAGAGCTTGCTTTCTTTTAGATATTAAGAAGTTACATGGGGCCGGGCAGTGGTGCTGCCGCCTGCCTCACAAGTGCAAGGTCCCGAGTTTGATCCCCAGTACCAAAAAAAAAAAAAATTCAAAGTTCACTGTAGTCTTCAGAAGTTTTTTCTCCTTATCTTTTTTCTCGGTACTGGGGGGTAGAACCCAGGGCCTTTGGACTGAGCGGCATTCCAGCTCCTTTATTTTGAGATGGGGTCTCCCTGAATTGCCTAGGCTGGGCTGAAAGTTGCAGTCCTCCCCCCTCAGCCTCACAGATGCTGGGATGACAGACAAGCGGCACCACGCCCGACTGTCCTCGTCACTTGGACCAAAAGCTAAAGAGTCAGGGTCCTGGCTGCTACTCACAAGAGAGCGGGAGCTCTGCCTGGATGGAGGCAGGAACTGCCGCACATTTGTGGGCGTCTCCTTCTCGATGGAGTGGCGTCTCTGGGGCGGCTGCCGCCTCTCCGGCTGGGGCGTGGACGATATGGGCAGGAATTTCGGAGGCTCTAAAGATTTAAACAAATAAGTGGATTTGCTTACAAAATCTCCATTCTGACTTTCCTCATAGAAAAGCCTTTGTCATTGGTGACAAACACCACTTTCAAAGACGAGGCATTTATTTGGCTTGAGGAGCTGCTTTTTGACCCTGAGAGGAGACGGTCAGGATCGCTACTGAGGAATCTGCAGGACAGACTTGCTGCAGAACAGGCAGGACGAGGGAAGAGCTGCATTCAAGTCCACATATGGAAATACAGGGCCAAGTGCAGCTCAGCCTGGGACCTACAACGCCCTCAGGTTGCTTCCTACAGACTTTGGCAATCAAAGTCTAGGACATTTACTTTACCACATGTGAAAATATACACGGTGGTGCCTCAGTTCACGAACTTAGTCATTCCTTGATTCTGGGGAGAGGGGCATGGTCGTGTTTGGTGCCTGACATGGAGGTCAGGAAAGGGAGCAAAGTTCTGCCAAACGCTTCTGTTAGTGAACTGAACTGTTCGAGAACCGAGGCATTACTGTATTCTGCATGACCGAGAAGACTTCCAGAGCGTACCAAAACTCTCAAGCATACCTTCTTTTCACACTCTCCTTTATAAAGATAAAACATGGATACTCTTCTTTCTCTATGTTTTCATGTACTGTATGCTTTCAGTATTGACATTAACATCGTACTACTGTTTTCTGCCGCCCAGCAGTGTTCTGGGACCTTTTGAAAACATAAGAACGTCAGAAACAGATTATGCTGCCTAAGGCTTTCTTGTACTTCCTTCCTACTCTATTTGCAAAAAGCAAGGCAGCTTCAAGACAATGCGGGGGAAGACCCCACAGAGTTCAGGAGAACCAGGAGACCACCCCAGGAAAAGAAAGAACATCATTTCCACAGTCAAGAAGAGACACAGAATCCACTGTGGGGTCTAACTGGGTCCCTCTGCTGCCTAGTAGACCTAGCCAAACACTAGCCATAGATAACAAAGCCCAGCTCCTCACCAAAAACATGACTGATCTGTTTAAGCAACTGAAATGCCATGTGAAGAACCTGAACCTCTCAAATCTCTGGTGTGTGTGAAATCGAGACACTGCTCTAAGAATATCTTAACATTTTTATCCTTCATAATGATCCTATAAGAGAAAGAGGTTACTGAAAGCCCTCAGAAATCCATGGATTCCAGGCACCCGTGTTCAGAATTCACTGTCTGCAGGCAGAGCTGTAAGCCGTGCTTCACCATCTGTCTCTGCAGGCGTGGCCTGGAGTGAGCGTGCTGGGGTGGGGGCTCCTGCTCACACTCATGAGACAGTGCACAGCCGCCCCACTCCGACAGCGTCTGCACAGGGTGAGCTCTCCCTAGACGCAGGTGTGTGGCCTCGGGTGAGTGCGCAGGGCTGCCGTCTGGGGACACCCGAGTCTCTGCCCCTGCCTACAGCAGCATGAGCTCTCCAAGCCTGCAGGACCATGGTACGGTTGTGACCTGAGCTCTCCACACGGGGCAGGTACTCACTCTTCCTTGTGCACACGGCCTCCAGGACAGGGTCCTCGAGCAGGGAGGGGGATACGCTGCTGCTGCCGCTGCTGCTGCTGGGCTTGCGTGGGGCTTCCTCCTGGGGGCGTTAGCACTGCCATTAGCAACACTGCACCCCAAACAGTGTCCCAGGCTCGGAAGCTGGAGATGCAATCCGCAGATACCTGAGCATTCAAATCAGTGCAGACACATTGCCAGTACCCTCTCAAGATCCTCCCTCGTGCTTCCAACCCTCATCCCAACATCCCTGCCCTTCCTGCGGCAGCTCTGGAGCTACTTTCCCGAGGGTCTTTGGCTGCACTGTCCTGGCTCCCTCGAGGTCCTGAATGGAGTGAAAACATCTCCCTTTTACGGTGTGGGACAAGGAAGATGATTTCATTTTACAAAGTTGGCTGTGAGCAGCAGCAGTGGAGACCCAGCGCCGTGGATACACCCAGCATGGATGCAGGAGGAGTGGGGGGTCTCGGCCTGCCCGGGTGGAGATCCGGGGAAGGGTGGCTGATGAGAGGCGTCCAGGTGCCCTGCCACCGCCTTCGTGGAGGCTCACCTGCGGGCATTCTCGTTTGTATTGTGGGGAGAACAACCCTGAGCATGTGCCCTTATTGTCTGGGGGGAAACAATTACAACACAGTTCTGTTTGCCTACTTTTTCCTTCCCAAAATCAAAGGGACTTAAATTTGGAAATCGTTGCCTTATTTAAACCCTGCTTGTAATTTATGACCACAGCACATCCAACCCACACACTCACTCTACAAGCCACACCCACTGTGCTGGTGGATACCCACAGCAGGAAGCCCGAGAGCCCCTCCCGACCCTCAGTACCAGCGCCAAGTCCTGCTCATCAAGGCCTTACCTCGGAGTCAGAGCTGTCCAGCTCGGCCAGCGTCGGGGCCTTGAGCAGCCTCTTCCGAACCACAGGCGCCAGCCCAGCGGGGCTCTGCCCGCTCTTCCCCGGCTCTGCTGGTGACAGTGAGGCCCCGTTCACCTGTGATGGCTCCCGGAGGCTCTTTGGAGATTCTGGTGTGGTCACATCTGCGGAGAGAAAGGCAGAAGCTGACCTCAACGAGCCAGGAAAGGAACCCAGTGGGGCGAGAGTCCCTGGCCCTGTCCCACAGGCCGGAGGCAGAGGGCTGGCACGCCCACCACTGTCCAGCACAGCCACAGCCGGCTGCTGAAGGAACCTTAAATGAGTGACTCTGGCTTCACATTTATAAATCCTGCAATTAACGGACTCTGACTTTAGTTTCCAGATGAAGAAACTGAGGCACAGAGAAACCAGCTTCCTGCTTCAGCCTCGAAGGACCAGGGTGGTAGAGGAAGAGGTGCACGCTGAGCCCCGCCAGGCCTTAGGAACCACTAGCCATCTGTGCTCACGGAAGTGTTTCACGAACAGACACAGCACACACAAGACACTTCTGTGAGCGCAACATGGACGCATTCCTGCGGGCACACCAGAGCTTGTGTGTAGATGGACGGGCCAGACAGCGAGGCAGAGCTGGACACAGCTGGCCAAGGGGTGCCTGGCTGAGTGAGCTCCAACCTCTCCTCCCACTGGGGTGAAATGGGCTGCAGTTGCACTGGACCCACACCGGCCAGGCCAGCCTTTGCCCAGCCGGGAGGAAGGGCAGGGGCAGGGTCAAAGCAGTGCTCGAGCCAGGACCCCATGAGGGGAGGGTTCTGCAGCATTTCAAGTGGGGTCTTATCCACAGCCTGAGTCTAACAGCAAGCTACAAAACAGAGCACTCAGTGGTGAGAAGCCCGCTGCGTAACTGAAGTCCCAGAGTGGCACAAGGGGCTGCTCTCAGGGGCTCCTTGCTGGAGACTGAGGAACCCCAGTAGTGCCTGCTGTGGGGATGGCACTGCAGCTGGGGGACTGCAGGTGCGGTCCTCCTCCACTAACACTCCAGGGTGCAAGGCCAAGGCCCGGACAGCCGGTGTGAGCTCCCCTGGTGCCGCTCCATGTTGGGCGGGCATCAGACTCAACATTCACAACTCCTGTTTATTTTTAGGGATTGAGAATTCTAGAAGATATCCCCTTCTCAACTTGAGTAAGGGACTTAAGCTAGGAAGAAAAGAGGAGAGGAAAAGAGAGAGAAAGAGAAAGGAAGAGGACACAGCAATCATTTATATTTTTGTGTGTTTTTTCTTTCGGTACTGGGGATCGAACTCGGGACCTTGCGCTTGGGAGGCAGGCGGCAGCACTGCCTAAAGACCACTGAGCTAAATCCTTGGCCCTAGGTGAAATTTTCAATAGAGAACTAGATAACATATGTATTTATTTTGTTACAACATTCCCAGAAAGTAAGGAGCTAGAATAAACAAACAAGTGGTGTTTGGGAAGGTGTTGAAAGGGAAAAAACAAAAGGTTTTAGACAAGGTTATAAAGGTTGAAATTATTAAATAAATCTTTCATAAGGAAATGGAGGGAGAAGCACCTCAGGTTTTTCAGAAAGCAAAAGAGCAAATGAATGGGCTAACTAACTCCTATTCAAGAAAAAAGGTCGCAGGGGTGTAGACGCGGTCTTCACAGAGCCTGTTTCTGAACAGTCTGTGCTACCCTTCGCTCTGCATTTCCTGCTGGCTGCTGACATGGCTGGAGGTCGTCCACGGCAAGCACAAGTGTGTGACCAGCACATGCCTGCGCCCTCCCGCGTGTGTGCGCTCCCAGAGGCCCCGTCAGCACCGTTTCCTGCTCGGCTGCTCTGACGCCACTGAGTGCACAGGGCCCGAGCCACACTCGCTCGCGGGAAAGTGTATTTCACAGTAGGCAGACAGGTTACCTGCTAGGTCAGATCTAAGATTTTTGCGGGCGTTACTTCCTAAGTCATCGAAGGTGGATTAAGGAGTTAGGCAGGACAGTGGCATTTACGGTAACAAGCGTCGTGCACATGGCCAGGAGCATGGTTGGGCTGTCCCAAGGCAGAGGCGCCTGCATTCTGGCTCAGACAGGGGACCCCCTAAGGAAGGCCGAGCTGCGAGGAGGCAGAGCAGTGACAGGCTTCAGGGTGCGCTCGCTCACGAGGCGGGGGCAATTCTAGTGCATCTGCCTACTGATGGACTCGGCTGGTCATATTTTTACGGCCTTTGATCACTTACATTTCCTGTTAAAATTAATAAATTCCATTACTTCAATGTAAAAGAATCAAGCATGTGAATTTAATTGTGTGTTTCTTCTATATAAGACAACATCTCTTAAGAAAAATCGATGCTATTTATGTGTAAGTACAATCTGTAAGATGAGAAATACTTGGATATGGCTTCAGAAATACCTTAGGTTGAGGATGCAACATGCATACTCACATTAAACACTTCAGTAACTGTATGTGGGTGTGCTGCCTTATTTAGCTGGAGGAAATGTGGCTAGCACACAATGTATTTAGTATTCGCACAGGAAAAATGAGTTAGACTTACCTTTATGTTGAATGGACTGTGAGCATTCTCACTAAGAAACAATACTTGCAAGCAGCACCTAAGGAGCAGACTGCTTCATCATGTCTCCCTCTGGCTTACACTTAGTGTCATCTTGACTATGCGTTTAAAGTGTTTACTCCTTGGTTTGTTCATTTTCCAACTCAGAAAATGCACTCTGATCTTCAAGTCAGGAGAGTGGGCTAATCCTTCCCGTTTATAATTTGGGATATTTTCATTACTATTCGGAGCACAACAACAAACACAGAAAGCAGCACAAGAACCAAGAACGAAACACTAGGAAATCACAAAGTACATTAAGGCACAAAATAAATTAGAGCGAATGAGAAGCAGTGAAACCAGGCATGTCAGTGGCCGGAGCCCTCTTCCCACGCAGAGCTGCCGTGTGCCCTGTACGGGCCCAGAGCTCAGCCTGCGCCCGTGAGCGGGTGTGGGCGCTGCTCCAATCGGCCGCAGGTTGCCCACAGCAGCCCGAGCCCGGTTAGGGGCCCAGCAGAGAGACAGTGTCTGAGAGTGGGGGGCCGGCTCAGGATGAGGAGACTCTTGTGTCCTACAGCACTTCTGACTTCAAAGCCAGACCAAAGTTTGTACAGGGTCTCTCTGCAGAGGGTTGACAACATAAATAAAAATAGCCAAATGTGGTAAAGAAAATGGAAAAGGCTCTCGGTGGTCAGTCAGAAATAGCAAAGACTGTAAAATGTTAGTCATCTCCAAGACCCACACAAACACACGGGAATTTAAACAATGGTTGGGAGCTAGTTCTGCAGGTGGAAGACAGCGGGTAAATACTCAAAACACAAAATGATAACAGAACTCTCTGGCCTCTTTCTGGCAGTACTGGGGATTGAACCCAGGGTTACTCTACCAGTGAGCTACATCCCTTGCCCCTTTTATTTTGAGCAGCATTTCGCTAAGGTGCTGAGGCTGGCCTCAAACTTCCTCCTGCCTCAGCCTCCCCAGAAGCTGGGCCTGCAGGTGCGTGCTGCCATGTCCATCTTGCTCTGGCTCTGAACTTGCACGTAAGGCACGTAATGAGCCACTGCAATCTAAGAGGACTCGTGCAGTTAAAAACTCGGGAAGGAAACAGTACCAACAGCCTATTTCATTGTACCTTTAAAACAGTGGCTTCTTAAATTAAAAATTCTAATGTGCAAAATATTTTGTTGGAATTAATAGGGCTTGAAAGTCTGCATGTACTGAAACTGCTATTTTAAAAAGTGGGCTGACTTAAAACAATCTACTCAGTTGCAGTGACTCCTTTGTCAGTGTGGAGCCTGCATGTTACACAGAAGGGCTGTGAACCGTGCTGCCTGCTGACCGGGCACACGGGTGCACATGGAGACCAGGGCGCTCCATGGCAGCCGGGCTGGGCCCTGGTGCTGGGCTCGGCCGCTGGGCACCGCAGGCAGCTACTGCTTTAAATTAGGCCCTCAGATAACTGAAGGTTTCGGAGAAGACGGTGCTGGGTTTCCTCCAGGCTCTCGTAGCGAAGGCACGTGAGCAGAGGACGCAGCCCCATGGTGCATGGGCCCGGCACAGCTCCCATCAGGAGGCCGCAGGTCGCTGAGATCGCATTATTCTAAGGTGCTCTCTAGTCAGGGGTGGTGGTGCACACCTCAAACCCCAGACCTCGGGAGGCTGAGGCAGGAGGATTGCTATGAGTTCCAAACCAACCCAAACGATGTAGCAAGGTCCTGTTTCAAAAAAGCAAATCAAAACAAAAAAACATACTGCTTTTGCCCACTGACCATTGCAAGAAGAAAGCCTTTCTATTTTCTTTCTGACAGTCTGAGCAAGCAGATGCATGAAATGTGCATCACAAACCACGAGCACGTCAGGTGTGAGGGGCTTCGTTACCTGACAAGTCAAAGCTGTGAGACATGCTAAGTGGCCGTATTGCTGAAAGAAAGAAAACAAACAATAAAAAGAAACACTTCAGTCAGGACATCGGGACATATCCCCGGCACGGAGTCCACTCCTGTGATGGCACCGAGACTGGAAGGGAGAAACCACCTTAGAAGAATGTGTTGAAAATGGGCACAGGATGAAGATACAAACATTTTTTAAAAACCACAGAGTAGGGTTTTTTTACTTAAATATATAAAATAGGTCAAGAGCAAAATGACCATGTTTTAAAACATGATTTTAGGGAACACATGCAACACTTGGACCTGTGGAACCATGGATGTTCCCCTGGCAGTTGGGTGGGGACCTGGCTCTGGAGAGATGAGTGCTGCTCAGGGTCTCAGGGTCCACAAGGGCCCAGGCAGGCACGGCCACTGTCACCGGGCGCTGTGCTCTCAGCCCCGCCCCTCCAGGCTCTCATCACCTCTGAATGCTGAGGACCGACGGCGGCACTGCCCCGGCACAGGTCACGGTGACAATGACAGGACGGCGCCCAGAGACTGTGCCTGGAAGGCACCTGCACAGCGCGAGGGCAGCAATGATAATGCTCAAGAACAAAATTGTTACTTCTTTCCTATTGAAATAATTTGTTTTAAAATTTTTATTCCATACAATAAAAGCCATTTAATTATTGTCAGGAGCAATGCTATATAATTTTAGGGAAAAATCATTTGGTTAGCCTAGTTCTCCTGCCTACAGCCCAGCTATGGAATTCCGAGACATAACTCCATTTTGGCCTCCGGTCACAGCTGGGACCTCAGTGATCCGGTGATGCTGTGATTCTCCAGGACAAGAAACATCCTGGGAGCTGAGAACATCCTGGGAGGAGCAAACATCTACTCGGTTCCTCCTCGTTCTTGGACTGTTACATCTTGTTTACGCGGATGCACTGAACTCTCTGCCAGTCATTTGTTACATTTGTCTCTAAACTGGGGGCTTTGTCTTTGCCGCCCAGAGCAGCACTGATCAGACCCAAAGCTCAGCTTCTTCTCAGTCTCATTTTTCTACCTTTCCTGTAATTCACCGTGTGCTGCCGTGGCTCGCAGGAGACCAGGACTCACTGCAGAGGTTCTGGTAACGTCCCCTTCCCCTGTTCCCTACAAATTATAAACTTTAAATGGGTGAGTAAGCTAAATTAAATGGGTGGGTAAGTTATATCTTAATGGCATTTTAACAGAGCTTGCTGCAAAGATCAGAAGAGCCTGGAGTTCAGGGCAGCCCCCAGCCCCGCCAGCCTCCTGAGCTGTTTTCCTGCCACAGCTGACACCCACGCACAGCCCTTCTTCCCTCTGCCTGCCAGGACGCCCAAGTCCCCCAGTGCCCAAGCCAAAGCTTCCATTCTTCTCAGTCCTCTTCACACAAACCTGGCAGGGCACGGAGACGGCCTCACCTGGCCTCGATTTTGGGGAGCCGGCCACTGGCAGGGCGTGGGCAGCCCTGGCTGACACTGTCCATGGAGGGGACCCCCCTTAGACCCATCTTCCTGTGTGTATTCCAGCAGATGCTTTTAAGGAATAATTTATCTTACAATCCAAAGGCTCAGTGTGTATCTTTCAGGAAAGTGATGAGCACGAAAAGCACTGCCTTTGACCCCGTGCACTCAGCAGGACGAAAGGCCCTACGATGTCTGAGGAAGCACACAGGGTAGCGGGGAAGCCACTGTGACTGCACAGCCACATTCACTGTCTGGTGACCAGGAAGGGTCGTTCCAAGTGTTTCCATCTCAGTGTACCAGTTAGGATATAGCTTGTCTTAGTTATCTCATTAGACAGTAGCTAGGACCGTGACAGTGAACCTTTCAGAGCTTCCAATGGTACAAATGCCCCACTGCGGCACGCGTGCTGTAGGTCTGCCCCCACTGGTTAGGGTCTTTATGTTGATAAGAATGATCTTCCACTCATATTAAAATGGATTTCTAAACTTCAGTGCTGTGTACCTTACACTTTCTTGATTATGCAGAGCAAAGAGAATACTACATATCTTCAAAGCACCCTGCACTGACTCCTTATTCCGCTCTTCTCTGGGACATAAACCTATCTTTCCAAACAGGAAAGACTCCTTTGGAGGAAAGGGAAGGCGTCACTGTTGGGTGATGTGGTCCCGGTCCTTCCATCCAGGAGACGACATTATGATCATGGCAACCAAGCCACCTGGCCAAAGAAGATGACCGGAGATGAACAAAGGCTGAGGTACAACCACAGGAATTTCAGGCTTACTGGGAAAACAGTGGGAAAACTGTAAAGCAGTGGGAAACAGGCAAATCAAACACAGTGTAGCCATACATTAGATCACAACTTCACACAGCACTTTTGAGTCATGCTGACGGACAGGAAGATGAGCAGAGCTAGCACCAAGGGCGCCTAGCACTGTCTACACACAGCTTTCTGTCCTTGTTTTGTGGTCCTCAGGTGGATTCGAGGTGGACGCCTGTGATGTAGAAATGACGGGCAACATCTGCTCTAAATGTTCAGACGTTTGCCCACCCCTGAGTTTCTACTTACAATCACACAGAGAGGAAATTTATAAAAATATTCAGGGAAATTGTTCTTCAAGTTAATTCTTTTAATCTTATCCTAACCCAATTCTCCAGAGCACAATTTTTATAGTGAAAGCCAATGTGGATTTTCAGGATCAATGAACTCAAATTCCTGATTTTCCACTGAAGTTTTAGATCAGCTTGAACTCATGATTAGAGAATTGAAAGTCCACAGAACAGTCACTTTCTGGAACAGCTCAACTCTGGTTGTTGCAACACATCAACTCTCAAGGTTGAAATAAAATAAGATACACTCACAGTATAAAATTGGCATTTATTCTAAAGTAGTGTTCTCTTTGCCTTAGAACATAAATATCGTTTTGTAAAAGTGAGACCGAAAAATACGTGACCAAGGCTTGCTCTAGGGACAGAATCTATACTCAAAGGCTGCCGACAAAGACAGCCCTGGACCATCAGCTTGCAGAAAGCCGGGTGTGTGCCAGCCTTTCTCAAACTTCCTAAACACTGAAGAGTGGAGGAGCAGAAAAGGAGAAAGAAAAAGGAAGGAAACTCTAGGCCAGTATCCCTGATGAATACAGATGAAGAGCTGCCAACAGAAGGCGAGCAAACCCAGGCCAGCAGCACAGGCGCTGGCTCACACACCAACCAAGTAAGTCCTTCCCAGGAGACAAGGGCAGCTCAACATATGCAAGTCAGTTAATGTGACAAGCCCGGAACAGAATAAAGGACACAGCCACATGATCATTTTATAGATACAAAAAAACCATCTGACAAAATTCCATACCCTTTCAAGATGAAAACTCTGAACAAACTTGGAATAGAAGGAAGTTACCTTAACATAATAAAGGCCATGCATGAGATGCCCACAGCTAATACTACACCCAGCAGCGAATAGGTGGAAATTTTTCTTTTAACACCAGAACAAGGCAGGGATGGCCTTTCCCACATTTAACACAATAGTGGGTGTCCCAGCAGAAACAAACAGAGAGGAAAGACAAGGAAGGAAGGAGGGAGAGAAGGAGGGAGGAAGAAAGACAGAGCACCCAAACTGGAAAGGAAGAAGTAAAATACTCGTCCAAGGAAATGTGATCTTACGTACAGAAAACCCTAAAGATGCCATTTAAAAAACTGTAAAATCTATTAAATTCAGTAAAGTAGCAGGATTCAAAATCAACTGCATTTCAACAAACAACAAGCTGCCTGAATGGAAGTTGGGAAAATAAGTTTCTATGGCATTACTGAACAGAACATAGTACCAGGCTGGGGATGTAGCTCAGTGGTGCCTCACAAGCGCAAGGTCCTGAGTTTGATCCCCAGTACCAAAAAAACCAAAACCAAAACCAAAAAAGAGTAGAGTACCTAGGAATATTTGTATGCAAAACACTACACAACACATCCTGTGTTCAGGTGCAAGGATTCCTACTGCTAAAATATCCATACTAACAAAGCTATATACAGACTTACTGTGCACCCCGTGAAAATCTTAATGGTAGTTTTTATAGAAATAGAAAAATCAATCCTAAAATTTATGTGAAAATATAAAAGACCAGCAATCAATCAATCTTGGGAAAGAATCAAGCTGACACTTCCTGAGGCTAGAATATATTAAAGCCACAGTTACCACCAGATACAGACAGACATATATGGACCAAGATCAGAACAGAGAGCCAGAAAGAAACCCACAAATGTGTGGTCAGCTGATCTTCCACAAGGCTGCCAAAAACACACAATGCAGAAAGCATTTATAGCTCTGCAACAAACAGTGGTGGAAAAATTGAATATCCACAAGCAAAAGAATGAAACTGGACTCTTACTGTTATACGGTGCCCAGGGATCAACTCGAAATGAACTGAAGACTTAAACCTTTTAAGATCTGAAACTAAAACGCTATAAAAATGGGGAAGTCCCAAGTGATCTCGGCAGTGATTTCATGGATAATGCACCAAACACAGGCAGCAAAGACAAAGCAAAACAATAAAACCAAAACAAAAATAAACAAATGGGACTGCAGCAAAGAGTGAGCACAGCGAGAAGGTGACCGACCTGCTCCACGAAGAAAATGCATGCAAACCCTGTCACTGGTCAGGAGCTAACACCCAAAGCACATGACGAGCTCCTACAGCTCAGTGGTGAGAGAATGAGGAGCTTGGCTTTAAAACGAGCAGACATCTCTCCACAGAAGAGGTCTACATGGCCAAGAGGTCGACTGATCACCAGGAAAATGCAAGTCTCCACAAACCCACATGGAGAGGGCACCAGACACAGGCAGGGCGGCTGTCCCCAAAACACACAGACACCCAGTACTGACACAGTGTGGAGAGCCCTGAACGCCTCGCTGCTGCGGGAACACAGGTGCAGCGCCATGGAAGTAAGAAAATAAGGGCTGGGATGTAGCTCAGTGGCACCAGCCTGTCTGGCAAGCGCAAGGTCCTCAGTTTGATCCCTAGTACCAAAAAACAAAACAAAACAAAGAAATAAGAACATAAGGCATCTACCA